CCCCGCTCCCTCTCCCCCCCCCGCTCCCTCGGCGGCCCGCCCCCCCCCCCCCCCGCCCCCCGGCGCCCCCCCCCGCCCCCCCCCCCCCCCCCCCCCCCCCCACAAGGGATTGGCAGACCCCTGCTGCCGAACTCTGGACACTGTACAACAGGTATCGGTACTCGCTGCCCGGCGCCAGCCAAGCCAGCAAGCCACCTTCGGGTGGACAAAAAGGACAGAGAAAGGCTTGTCGAACAGTGGGCCCTCGGGAAAGAAGCTCTGTGGAGACGTGGACGACCGACTGCATTGTCCATCGTCACAAGCTCCGACTCAGCGTGATAGTTGCTGCTGGTTTCGCATCGGCAGGCTTCGGCCGCAGAAGCAAACGCACAGAAGACATACGTATAATGTACGCAGCATGAAGCCAAGTCGTTCTGCACCCTTGTTCCGCATGGAACAAGTCTGTGGGCTTTGGCCAGTACACTTTCAAGTTTCAAAGAGCCGCGCAGCTGTACAGTACATAGCGGGCCGGCGGCCGATATGCTTAGAGCCGGTGTTAGCCCAGCCGAGACCCCCTGGCTAGCCACCATAATAAGGACGCTACAGGTGACGGGTGTGGGCGTCTGGGACAAACTGCCGCAATATTGGTGCTCCTTGAAGAAGCTACAATGCTATTCATCAATACGAAAAGGACATTGCGGGCTGTCTGGGCATCGGCCGGTCAGAACATCATGAGGCGGTCGTCGATCGACCCGACGCGCTCGTGCAGAAGGCAAGCAGGATTAGGGTGATGACATGGCGGGCCAGGACGCGGTGATCATCGCCTGGGCACACCCTCAACAAACCAGACGTGCCGCCTGTCAAGGACCCAAGGACGCGATTTTCCTTCTCGCCTGCGTAACGTTCTCGGGACGCTGCCGAAGAGCAGGCTGGAGGTTGGGACGGGACTTGCACAAGACCAACATCTCTCAAGTTTAACTTAGGCTCTTCAGCAACGCAGCCCTACCCGAGGGTGCATTGGGGTCCCAGACTCCCAACGTTCATTTGTCCAGTCTAGCCAGGCGGCCACCCTTGGGGTTGCGTCCAGACTTCAAGAGGGAGCGGCACAATGGGGCTACTGCAGGGCGCACTTTCTCAACTCTACGCTGGAGGCAACTCTGATTTACCGGTGCACGTGAAGGAAATGGATGAAATGGTGTATGAGTCGCGGGCAGACGGACGCCTTCCTTTCCCGCTACCCCCTCCGATGCACAGACGCGCGCGCGGCTGTAGCCAGTGGCGCCCATCTTTTCAAAGACGCGCGCCTGATGTGTGTTCCAGGCAGTCTATTATCGTCCTCCGAACGGCTCTGTGCAGCACTGCAATGTGGCATGGTGGCTCTGAATCCTGATCGCGGATAGCGCGCCCCGACCGACCCCAGATCTCGCATCGGCCGCGGACTATCCGTGAGCACCTACATGAGATTTTATCATTTTGTGCCATCCAGTGGCATGCACCCTGACAAAGACTCCCAGAAAGCCGAAGCCTTGCTTCAACCCCTTGACCGCGGCCGCAAATCGGTCGCTGCAACGTACCATGCCTCGCATTCTGGACGTGAGGAAGACAAAGTGCGCTGATGTTTGCGCCTGCGCCCTCATCAGCGGTCCATATATCCGTACGTACCAAGCAGTCAGTCATGCGATGCGCCAAGTCGTCGAGGAGTCGGCCCAGAGCGCCGATCTCCAGGGTTACATACAGCCCGACAAACCCCTGAACAGCGCGCGCGCGACAGACCTGTCAACGCCGTCCCGCCGAGAGTGCGGATGCAGAGGACTTGTTGACTGCTGAGACCAGGATGGGGTACGACATGCATAGCATGACTGGGAGGAACAATCGCAGATGCGTCCGGCGGAGTAACCGAGAAGGCTTTCTGTGCATCTTCATCCGCAATTACCCTTGACGCGAATCCGCCCCGGCTCGATTTAGATCGGTCGACGGACGTGAGGTTTGGCTTCCAATCTGTCCACGGACGGCTCAGTCTCTCACTCGGCGGTACTTTCATTTACCCGGATGAATTCCAAAAGAGGATAAACTTACTCTGGGGTCTCGTGCACCTAGATGCAAGACGTCTTGGTTGCCATTATTGTTGATGGTGCGCGTCACGGGGGTCTGTCATCCCGCGGCCGAGGCCTGCGTGTCTAGCTTCAAGTCTGGCGCATGACACAAGAGGATGTCCGTCAAACTGGTTTATTCGATTCTAACTCTTATGTACAATTTCTATCAGGGAGTCTGTGTGGCACGGTTGACACAGCGGCCGACGCACGACTGCCCGCCCACCCCTTTCTGTCACCGGATGAAGAAGGCAGCGTCGTCGCCGAGGTCGTCCTCCGCAATCATGTCCTCCTCATCCAAGAGGGCCATCTCCACAAACTGGCGTATCCAAGCCTGCTGTGCTGCGTCCAGCCCGTCGTGCATCATGGCATGGTTACCGTTGTTGATCACACGCATGGCAGGCTGAGGTCGACCTCTTCCTCGACCGCGTTCTGCGCCTCCTCCGCGCCCGCCTCGTCCACGACCACCTCGACCTTGCGCGGCGCCTCGTCCACGTCCTCGACCAGCCGCCACGGGCGCTTGTGGCACAGCAGCCTGAGGTGGTGGTGGTGGTGGCGGTGGACGAGGCGGGTTGTTGGGGTCGTTGCCCAGGCGTAGAACAAGAGGTGCTTCGCGGGCCACGGCCACGGGGCGACCATTCTCGTCGAGGAGCTGCGGCCTCGCAGGCTGGTCTCGACGATCGACGTCTGGCACGCGGATGGGCTGAGGGGCCTCCTCCACAACAGCCTCGTCGTGATTCTCGGCCTGCTGCGGCACGCGGTTGCCTCCAACGAAGCCCAGGCCCACGTCGTCACCATCGCCGCCCTCGAGCTCCCACAGACGCATGTAGCACGAGGTGAACTTGCCGCCGGGCTGCTCGTTGTAGTGCTGGTACGGGTTCCCGGGGGACAGCCAGGCGGAGCACAGATAGCAGAAGTGCGTCTCGCAGCGTGAGCAGATCATGTGGTTGCACCCGTGTGTCTTCTGGGCGGGCGCGCTGCACGTCGGGCAAGGGCTGGTGTGCAGCTGGAGGTATTCGAGCGAGGCCTTCTCCTCCTCGGTGAGTTCCCCGTTATCGCGCCTCGGCGCGCAAAGCACAAACTCGCCGTGCCACGTCTGCATACAGCGGCTGCAAAAGGCCAGACCACAGTCCTCACAGATGGCCAGCCGCTCTGCGCGGTCGTACGTCTTGCTCTTGGCCTGTTCGTCGTCCTGGTCCGACTCTGCGTCCGAGGCGTCCTCATAGTCAAGGCCTGTGGGTTTCTTGTGCTTCTTGGACCGCGCCGCGCCGTTGCACCACTGTCGCGGGCAGTAGATTGTGTTCTTGTCGGATTCGAGCTCTGTCTTGTACTTGAGCATGACGTAGCGCTTCACCGTGTCTTCCGCAAGGCCGATCTGGAGAAGCTCGCTGGGGCTGATGGATGTCTTGAGCTTCTTAGGCCGTTTGGCGTCCATCGCCTGTGTCTCGGAGCGCTCCTTGGCACAGCTGGGCATCAGACAGCGGACTGTGCCTATGCTGCCTTGCTGTATGGCATCATTGTAGAAGTCTTGTAGACACTGCAGGCAGAAGATGTGTCCGCAGTCCAGCATCTTGTGACACTTTGTGCCTTTTTTAGGATCTAGAAAGCAAACGTTAGACTTGTATGAGGAAAGAAAAGGGCGCCTCGCCCAACTCACCTAGACATATACCGCAGTCGAATGTTTCGCGGTCAAAGGCGGCTGCCTTGGACTTGATGTCGTAGTCCAGCACGGCCAGCTTGTGCTGCGCATCGACCTCGAGGGTGCCCTGCTCGCTAATGGCGCCGAAGACATCGTCCGCAGCCCTCTGGACGTGATCAATGTACGTGTACGCGACCATGTCCCGGCCCATGTCCTCCCACAGCCTAGGCCCGTCGCTCTCGAGTGACGCCATGGTCTCTCGCCGCAGCCACTGCGGATCCGTGGAGATATGGACCTCGGGGGGCTTGTCTGAAGGATAGCCGTCCGGCAGCGTGATGCGCAGACGCAGCGCGGGAAGATGCGACACCTGGAGGGAGTCGGCGTCTGCGACGGGGTTGATGACGCCTGTGTCTACATCGTTGCCCGTGGCGGCGGCAGGGAAGGTGACGGTGACAGGTGCGGCGGGCTGCACGGGCAGGTCGATTTCAAATGTGAAGCGGTCCTTGGCCTCATCAGGACGTCTGATTTCCGGGTAGATGGCCTCGAGGGCCTCGAGCTCCGTTGCGCGCAGTTCCTCGTTCTCGTCCATCTTATCGTATGTTTCTTGAAGTGTCCGTCCAGCAGCTTCCACAGCCGGAAGGGCTTGTTTGCTCTTATACTGGGAAGCCTCTGGTCTGTCGCGCGCGCGTCAAGGACCAAAGGCGATGTGGCGAACCGAGACAGACAAAGACCCTCGACCACTCACGGCACGTGGGGTTAGCAGAACACACGTCTGCGACTGAGCTGAAGATGGCACATGGAAGCGATGAATGACCCGGGCGTTCCTAGTGTGTGCAAGCGTTCTGTGAGGGTCTTTGGTGGAAGTCTAGGAATAGGACTCTTCGTGATAGCTACAATGGTGAGTGATGACTCTTGCCGGCGATGGTCGAGGTGGAGGCCAGACAATGGACTAGGAAATAAATCAAGGGTCAGTCAAGGATAGGTGGATTGTGATTGGTCGGTGCGGGATGCGAGGCCCTGGGGGACAGTGAGCGAGTCGCTAACAATGATGGACAGGGGACAAAGGCGCGGTTGAACCCCAATTGTGCCACTGTAATTCATTCACTTCATTGTGCCTCCATATCGTGGGTTTTGTTGTTGATTCTCCAGTTCCCCTCCAACTTTGCGTCATCATCGACCAGCCTGCAGCCAGCCAGCCAGCTGGTCACTTCAAGTTCCTCACAACATTGAACACCGCGCGCTGGCCCATGGACCCTCTCGACCACCTCAAGGCGCACCTACACTGACAATCATCACCACCGCCACCATGTCCTCCTACGACCCTCCTCTGGCGTCCTTGTCCATCAGTCACGTCTACTATGTACGTTCGGACCCCCCTTCCCTGATCTCCAGACAACAAAGAACCCTCTACTAACCACCTACCAGGACCCCAATGACCGCATATCCCTCGTCTGCGCATACCTCGCCCTCCTCCCCCAAGCCCTCTGCGTCGTCTACGCCACCCTGATCCTCACCACCCGCGAAGCCGAGATCCTCCTCACCTTTGCCGGCCAGCTCGCCTGCGAGGCCCTCAACTTTGCCCTCAAGCGACTCATCAAGGAGGAGCGGCCGCCCCGCATCTCGGGCAAGGGCTACGGCATGCCCTCCTCGCACGCTCAATTTGTGGCCTTTTGGAGCGTCAGCGTCACCCTGTTCCTGCTGGTCAGGCACAACCCTCCCAAGGTCATGGGCAAGGTCGAGAGCAGCACGCATCGGCCGTGGAGCGTGGCGGAGCGGGGCTTGGTGGCGCTGGCGGGACTGGTCATGGCGGCGCTCGTGGCGTGGAGTAGGGTCTATCTGGGCTATCACACGGGGCGCCAGGTCGTCGTGGGCTGTGGTGCCGGTGCTGGCTCTGCGGTTGTGTGGTTTGTGTTTGTGGGGTTGCTCAGGAGCGGTGGCTGGCTCAAGTGGGCTCTGGCACACCCTCTGGCTAGGAGGGCGAGGGCGAGGGATCTGATCATGGAGGAAGACATGGTGCAGGCCGGATGGGAGAAGTGGGATGCTCGCCAGCAGGCGGAGCTCAAGGCCAACGGCGACAAGAAGGGCCGGTAGTGTCTGGCGGTAGATGTGGCATGCGAGGCGGAGATACCCTGGATAGAGCTTGGAATCAAGACAATGTCACCGTGGCCAGTCAACAAAATTCATACACGTGAGTGTTTCTACCTTTTTGACGTAAAATGACTGTGGATATATATAAACTTGGACCATGACAAGGAAGAAAAGAAAACTGTCCGTGTGACTGTGAGCACTGGTGACGCCCAACGGCGAACCAAAAACATAAAAAAAAGGGAAAAGAAAAGAAAGAAAGATCCGTTCAATCGTATTCAAATCCACTCCGGCCGACCATCATCGCTTCCCTTTGCGAGCTCCGGGCTTGCGCCAAAAGGCATGCTCCTCTCCGATCCCACACCATGAAAGCCAACGCCCTTGGGGCTCACGAGCCTGGTCTTGGCCGGCTGTCTGGTCGGCGAATACACTGAAGGGGCCAGTTGGACAGGCGCGTCTACGGATACGGGCGTCTGCGCCGGCACCTCTGGGAGCTCCTTGTTCAGCGAGGCACTGGAGATGCTCTCCTGCTTGGCGTGGTGAGGGATCCGTGGCACTGCGGTGGCAGCGGGAGCCGGCGTATCCGTCCTCTTCAGGGCCGCCACGGGCGGGACCAAGAGGGGAGACGTGGGCCTTGTATTGTCCTGTGCGTGTGCATCTGCCTTTGACGGTCGTCGACAATCGTTCACGTTGGATAAGCGCAGGCCGATCTGCAGTGTGGCCGTAGAGCAGAAAGAGGATGACCGGTTGTGGGAGAGCCCGGCTGGAGCATGGAAAAGGGGTGGGGGGACGAGAAAGTTGTCGTTTGGCAGCGCGGAGGCAGCCTGGGAGGACTCGCGCGTATATGTCGTCGAGGGGAGCAGAACTTCCTCCCGCGGCTGGTCTGCAGACTCGTGCGCAGCAAGAGACAAAGCGGATGAGGCGCGAAGGGAGTGCTCGGCGGAAGAACCCCGACTCATGAGACCTTTGACGGGCATGGCGAAGAAGCGGCTGATGGTCGACTCGTGCCGTCCTCCATGTCCATACGATGTGGAAGCAAACGGCTGGTTCAGTGTCGTGACTCTGCCGTCACCGTTCGAGTACGTTGAGGAAGATGTTTGGGGACGGTCGTCGTGGTCAAAGGCATAGCCGAGCTTGTTCGAACCCAAGACATTGTCGCCCTTTTCCGGGAGGTCAGTGCGTTGAGCAAACGGCTGTGTGAGCCTGCGCCCTCCGCGGAGGAATAGATACAACCCGCCTGTCAAGAGGCCTGACAGGTTCGCGACAATGGACGAGACTGTTGAGAGCTCGGTCGGGTCGTTGTCGAGGGAGTTGGGATCGGCCAAGGTGATGCTGAAAAAGAAGGGCGTCAACAAGGCCTGTTGAGTGTCAGCATATTATTCCATCATCGCTGCCGCCAGGTGCCTGGGGCTTACGTTGGAGATTGCGGCAATGGCCATGTAGTAGACCATGTGCGAAGCTGCCGTTCTGTCCATGCTGGGCGTTTTGTCCGAGTAGCGCAGCCGCAGCAAGACGACGCATGTCGTGATAAGCAGCGTGCTAGCTATGGCGACAAACAGGCCCAAGCAGACGGGCCGCCATGCTTGCGTGAACCAGAACAGGGAGGCGAAGCACAGCGCGGGAGGTTTGAGAGAAAGCGTCACGCCCCATAGCGCGAACAGCCCAGCTGCGATGATCACTATGCAGAGGGGGACGTTCCATGCCCGTGGAGACGGGAAGGGTTTCGGCAGCACTGATCGGATTGTCGTTTCGAGTCCCAAGATGAGCTGAGTGAAGGGGACCAGGAAGGTGGCTGGAAGTGGTCAGTCAGCGAGTGGCCACCCGTGTTCCGCTGGGATCGAACGTACCAGGCATCATCGTCTGGGACAAGGCGACGCAGTTGTCGAGCCTGAGCGCAGCGAGGCCTTGCGCCTGCGCCGTCGCAAAGATGATTCCCTGGGCGATGATGCTTAAACACAGGACGAATGGGTAGACCTGGGGCGCGCCAACGTGTCGCCACCTGGCGTCACTTTTTGTTGTCAGCGGCTGTTCTACCTTGTACCAGAGCGCCATCCCTCCCTCATACCTGATCTTGAAGGCCTGATCCCTCCTTTTCGCGGCCAGGTAGCAGTCCCATACGATGCAGGCCAAGGTCACGGCCGCGGCCACGACGTTGAAACTCGCCAGCGTGATGATTGACGTCCGTATCGATTTGATGGACGAGAACTGCAGGTCCTCGATGATGCCGGTCGTATTGCCCGCCGCCGCCGCGGCTGCGGCCTCCTGGGCGGCTCGTGATACCAACGTGGAGGAGGAGGCGACACCCTCGGCCAGGACACTGGCCACGGCAGCCTGTCTCGCGGCCCATTGCGTGGCCATTCCAAGGCAAAGTACAGTCTTTGTAGAGTTGAGAATAGCAAGCCCCTTTGCAGGCACCGGGCCCAGATAGTCAACAAGATTAAGCCGTCATAAAGATACTGCGAAGCCAGCTTCGATAGAGAAACAGAAAAGGAGTTGATCACAGGAGCAAACGCCAATAATACCAGCGACACAATGGGAGGAAGAAGGATGGGAGAGAGAGGGGAAACGTTGGGGCCGGAACCCATCGATGACTTGACCATCCGCTTCGAAACGATCTCTGGCCAAGCTCGTCACACACACACAGGGGGGCCACACGGACGATAGCGTGGAACGCCCTCATGGACAGGAAGAGAGAAAAGGGTCCCTGACCGGGGAAGCCTCGCGCGGAAACACCGTGGCCCCCTTTGCCAAGGCCCAAGACCTGACCAAGAGGGCGCAGACCGGGGCGGCAGTTGACACAGTGGGTTGGAGGGCGAGATATCGGCTAGGTGAAGACCCGATGCCTCTTGAAAAATATTAGATAAGATGTAGTTGGTCGCAACGGCGCGCTCGTCTCGGGTTCTAGGGGTAGTATGTATGCTGCATGCATGCAGTCTTGTGGGCATGGACTATTTTGGTGCCATCTGCCCTGAACCGAACGAAAGGTTTCGCTCTCTTTTGCACTCTGTGCGTTGACGGTAGAGTAGCGTATCGCCTCATGTCCTCTGAGCATATTCACGACTGCTCAATGGTGTTCTTCACGCAAAGCTGAGTCTCCAACGTGAAGGCAAGCCGCAACCGTGCCTGGTGATGGAGGCTTGCTTGCATGGACGACCGTCATGGATGAGCCTCTGGCCGGCGAGTCGATGCATGCGCGGCCGCCACCAAAGTGCAGGTGGCGGGTTGGTTCGAGATGCTGAAGCAGACTTGTTACGCGGATGAGTTTCAGGATCGCGACTGGACGTTCGAGAAGCAGCGCAACTGGGGAGATGCGGGCTTTTCCTAATTGGGTCTAGCATATCTCTCAGCCCTGGCCGGGCGGGGCTGACGGAGCGGGAGCGGAGCCGGACGCCATGTGCCTACCCTATACCGGACGCGCAATGCACCAACGCCGATCCGTCGCGTCGGGATTCAGCTTCAGCGCGTGGAATTTCCTCTGCGCCCCTTTCCACGGAAACACATCCATCACCGGTCCATCGAATCCACGTCCGCAATCATGGCCGACCTACCCCCCGACCTGTTCGACCAGACAACAATCATCTCCCTCCTCTCAACGCTGGCCATTGTGCTCGCCGCCTACCTCACCTCGTGCGCCGTGCTGCCGTCGAAAACCACGGGCCTCGTACGCTTCTTCTTCATCTGGCATCTCGCGGACGCCCTGTGCCACTTTATCCTCGAGGGCAGCTTCCTCTACCACTGTTTCTTCTCGCACGCACCCGCCCTCGACGCTGCGGAGGACTGGTTCCCGACGCCATTCAACTTTTTGGGATGGGGTGCCGAGAGGGTCTATGGCGCCCAGGCCGGCGGTGACAATCCCTTTGCGCAGCTGTGGATGGTCTATGCGCGCGCGGATAAGAGGTGGGCCGGCGTCGACCTGGGTGTCGTAAGCTTGGAGCTGCTCACCGTGTTCTTCGACGGACCCCTGGCCCTATATATCTGCTACTGCCTCGCCAGGAAGGACCCCAAAGCCAGCATCTGGATGATCGTCCTCGCCACCTGCGAGCTGTACGGCGGCTTCATGACCTTTTGCCCGGAGTGGTTGATTGGCAGCCTCAACTTGGACACGAGCAACTTTATGTACATGTGGGTGTACTTGTTCTTCTTCAACACGCTTTGGGTCTGGATCCCGCTGTACATCATCTACTGGGCGGTGGGAGACATTTCTGGGGCGCTGAGGGCACGCCAGGTCAGGAAGGACGTATAGCCGGGGGTGATGGAACCGTCAGGTTCCTGCTTGTCAAAGGCTCTTGTGTCATAGACCATGTGTTATGTCAACATGGACTACTGATAGTCTCAGAAAAGACCAAAGGCCTCACAAGGTACATCAAGCAAATCACAGGAGCCACAAAGGAGTGTTGTCAAGGAGCCACAAAGGAGTGTTGTCAAAATTGTTGATTACAAAAGGACTATTGAAGGGGTATTTATCGGGTCATGCTGATCCATCTGAATCATCGTTGCTCATCCTCCCAGAGTCCCCACGACGTTCCTCAAAAGTGCTCATGCGCAGGCACCAACAGCTTAGATCTGCTGCTTGTGGGCCTCGGCCTTGCCAGAGTGCTTCTGCTCCTCGGCCTTGTCGCCAACGGCATCCTTGGCGGCAGAGGCACGGGTGCCGATGGACTGGTTCGAGTCCTTGGCAACGTCCTGAGCATCATGTCAGTCGATGAATCTCCAACAAAGAGATTGGGCCGGTTTCTACCTTGTTAGCTTCCTTGGAAGTACCACGGAGGCCCTCTTGGACAGTCTCGGAGGCACTCTGCACACGGTAGGTCAGTCTCTGTCGTGATGCTTGCGTGTGTACGTGCGCTGGGGACGACTCTTACGTTAACGGCGTTCTTGACAGACTCCACTGCAAGGCTGTTAGCAACGATCAACTCATCAAGGAATGATGAAGACATACTTGTGATTTATGATGGTTGTTTGGGAAAAGTTGTGTTGTGTATTGGTGTTGTGTGGTTGGTAGGTGGGTTGATAGAAGGCAAAGGGGAAGGCTAGAAAGAACCGGGAGAGACCAGACTTTATACCCTCTCAGACCGGCAATGAATGCTTACTAGCGGAAACAGCATCCAGAAATCCATCTACCTACATGTGACGATTGTTCTGCACAATGGTGAATGTCGTTTGCTGGGTGTCGTCATCGAGCAGAGCAGCTTTCTCGATGCCGCCGCCTAGATGATAGTGGGGCAGCTCGATCGGCCTGGAAGGCTGGAACGCGTCGCAACGCGTTGTGAGAAGTGCACCCTTGCAGGATCCAGCGGGGCTCATCGTTCACTTGCTGCTTGCTCCAGCTCTACGTACTGAGGCAAAGCACAGCATCGAATGAGAACGGCTCCATTCAGCATGCTTGTTACTTGGCCTCTCTGTGCGACATAGCACCCCGACATGTGATCACCAATCTGTGTGCTAGTAGTTGAAGACGTATTCTTCTGACGTCAGAAAGGCTCGCCTCAGTTTGCCACGCATGGACAATCTATGACAGCCGCAACGGTACCAGCATGGGCATTCTCGATCATGAGAGCAATGCGCATGCGCCACACCTGGCTTGTACCTTGGAATCCTGACTTTGCGCCAGCAATCCAGTTTCAATGTGGGGTCGCCTCGGGAATACGTCGATCACCGCGGGCGCCAACGATGACGGAAGGAGGGGTAATAATTCAGCAACCTGAGGGGTCTGCCAGAAAAAGGAGTACTAGCTGTGATAACAGCACATTAATTGTAAAGCACGGTGCTTTTAGCTGGGCAAAAGCTTAACATAGACTGTTAGTAAGAAATGAGTAGACTAGTAGCCATCAGACCTCTATACAGTCTTTTCTTGAGACCACCACCACTGAAGCCGAGAGCCAAGTCCAGACGCTACGTTGCCTTGTTAGGCCATTTGCCCTTCGTCTGTCGTGCGACCTGAAGCCACCGCAGAGCTGTGGCGGCTGTGAGGACCAGTTTGTCCGTAAACACTCGATTTCCCATCGAGATGGTACGGACCATTGACTCCGGGGTGACAACAACACCAGGGATGTTGTACCTTGTGTGACGTTGGTCTTTCGAATGCCCCATACGATTATGGAAAGGAATGACGTAGAAATTAGACCCTTGAGCCGACTTTGAGCGTGCGTCTCGGATACACAACGGCGACGATGATCCGGGGCATACATCAGAGCAGAGCTGAGCTGACTCAGCTGGAGTGTTGCAAGACGACGTGGAGCGTCGGATACCCTGTTTACCCTACTGCTCTCAAAGGCTGATGGCACAACGGCCAGAAGACCATTCTACAGAATAGACTGCTTGAGTAACAGACATGTCACGATTGACTGCCCAACGACTGCCTGAAATACGTATGTCGTGTTCTACCAACGTCCATCACGGGTGGCAAATCGGTAAGTCAAATCCGGGAGTCCACAGGAAAAAAGGTCACACCACCTGTTCTAGGAAGTCAACCTCATTTAATCCCGGGGTTCTGGCGTTGAGGCCACCGTCATGAAGAATTGCAAGACCGTTTGGTAGCTGGCTGCTGATGCTGATGTGAAGCCTCAAATTGGGGCCGCAATTTCCCAAGTGTAGACCCACATCCAACTTGCTAAGATACATGTGGCCTGATGCTCACGACGACTTCCCATCCACATCTTTTACAAGTGGACGGACACAGACTTTGCCGCCCAACGACTCTGTACACAGGCGCAGTCGCCAGACATGGAGCGCCTATCGCCTCTTGGAGCCATGTGAACCTCACTTGGACTCATCCCATCACCTTCACGGCCCCAACCGCGGCGCTTCCGTCGTGGGGACAATAGTTAGCGGGACCAATCCTTCTGCCTACCTGAGCGGTAACGCACGGTCCAAATTCTCTGCGATACATGCGAATACTTCACATACAGCGAAGCTTTCACAGCACTTATCCGACTGGAGATCGGAGCCCCCTAGGTCAATGTCCGCCACCCCTCATCTCCCGAACGAGGTCCTGGCCCAGATCTTTGGCTACTTCGAGTGTACCCTGCCGGTGAAAGAATGGTGGATGAACGAAGTCGATGTGTCGCCCGTCGCAACCTTGAAGTCTCTCTGCCTGACTTGTCGAGCGTTCCGCCATGTGGCCCAGCCTCTCCTCTTTCGCAATGTCATCATCTGGGGTCGAAAGGACGAGGCAACGCTGTTTGTCAAGTTGATGAAAGCTCTGATTGGACGCCCCGGCCTTGGACACCATGTTCGCACATTCTCCTTCGGCTGGTACGACGAGTATGAGGCTCGCAATGCGGGCTTGAGCTGGCCAGATGTCTTTGATTGTATGGACCATAAGCTGGACCTCCCGCCTCGATTCAAAGCCGCGATGAGATCATGTTGCCATGAGGCGAGTGGACCTGATGCTGCGGCGGCAGCCATGGTCTTTATGCCAAACTTGCAGTTGGTCGACATAATGGCACTTTCAGATGACGATCTCCTGTCTGGGATGCTGAGCGGGCGCCCCGATGGCGTCTGGCCCCCATCCGGGGGTGACAGTATGCAGCACCAAGAAGCGCTGGATGGGACATCTGCAAAGAAAGGATATGCTAACTTTGGCCTGCCACTATTGAAGGAAATACGCATCCAGCATCCGGGCAATGAAATGTCCACTGACATCTTGGACGTCGAAGGGGCCCTGCTCCATCCCGGCGTGGAGACTGTCCGAACCGTTGGAATACACTGGACAGCCGACAACTGTACGAGAGACTGGTGCCGGGATGGCAAGTCGACCATAAGAACACTTGAACTACGAGAGTGTATCATCGACGACGAGGGGTTGGAGAACATGTTCCAGCAATGTCCGGCGTTGGAGAGCCTGTCCATTCAACTGGGGGACGCACGACGCGCGTTTGGCATTGGCGAGGATGAATGGTACTTTGATCTGAGGAAGATTGCCAACGTACTCCAGAAGCATGGATCGTCTCTGAGGACGCTCAATTTCCACACGCAAAACTCTGAGGATGTGGTCGGTGGACATGGTGGTCAGGCGCTGCGAGATCTGACAGGCCTGAGGCATCTCGCATTTGACAAGAAAGACTTTATGGGAAGCATGATGCAGGGTGATACGGAGCCCTTTCTCAAAGACATACTCCCGCCCAACCTCGAGACCCTCTACTTGCATTACGACGACATGTACAATCCCTCTTCGTACGCGACAGCGGCCAGGCACAAGGCCATGGAGCAAGAACTACACTTTGTCATTACTTGTGGACAGTTCCCAAATTTGCGAGAAATCAAACTCGAGCAGCACCTGCACGACAATGCACCCTTTGAGTATAGCATCATGGGTTGGACATGCAAAGTGTTCACGGAGGACTTGTGGCACAGACCTGTCTCGACAGGCTGCGCGCGCACAATCATAGCTCTCACGCGCGAGCATCAGCGTCAAGATATCGCGGCAAGCGCTGGCACGGGTGTTGGGTTTGTGTCAAATAGCCACGAGTTGGCCGGGTGAACACAAAGCGCTCCCCTAGCACCTTGGGTTATAATTATATCGTGACTGAAGGATTGTTCGTATGCTGAAGCTTCTCTTCTGAGCTCTGCCAGTCGAGTGGATGATGTGCTTTATTATGAACGCCCATGCCCATAACAGGCCAGCTATCGTTCGTACAGCTAATAGTTAGTATCTATTCAGTCGAATTCAGGGGTCTCACGACCTGAAACTATCAATTGCTGTGCCTCAGGACTCAGGAGGGGTGGGCCCTGTTATACCTATAATTCAACAGATGATTGACCACCTGTGCTGCACTGGGGGTATTTTCAGCTTGGAGCTTCTGTTGGGATAATCAATCACTCGACCGTTGTGTGGTTAATTGCCTGGTCATTTAATATCTGTCAAGTTCAGTGGCTGAGCTTCGCTCGTCTCGTCTTTCCGTTGCTCACCGGCTGAATCGTATCCCCACCACCACATCAGGACACTCTCGCTCGCTGCCCCTCCATCTACTTACACCTCGCGCACCACCTTGACACCAGGCCTCTCGAAACCGTCGCCAGTCGCCGTTCATCATGTCGTCTCGACCACAGCTCTCGGCCTTCACGCGCGGCCTCTCGGCCCTCTCGCAAAGCCAGAGTGCCGATGGCGCCAACTCGCCCGCTGAGCAGCGCGACGACGCGAAGCGCAACTTCCTCAAGACGATGCGGCCGCTCCCGACGCAGCACTACTGGCACGTCTACTTTGACCGGTGCGTCGCCCTATCAATATGACTATGGAAGATGGGAGAGAACGGCATGCTGATCGTACAAAGCCAGAACAAGGAGGCCGCCGCCGATGGCCAGGAGTACAACGCCGAGCTCGAGCAACTCGGCTCCCAGATCGAGTCCGTCCAGGACTTTTGGCGTTACAACAACAACACACCCGTCGACATGATCAAGATGCGCGAGAGCATCTACCTCTTCAAGTCTGGATTCCGACCGGTGTGGGAAGACCGCCGAAACCTCAACGGTGGAAGTTGGACCTTCCGCGTGCCCAAGGCCAGCGGGCCCGATGTCTGGACGCGCGTCCAGCTGCTGGCCATTGGAGAGGTGCTTGAGGCGGCATTGGACAAAGGTAAACCTTGTTGCACAATTCGAGCTTCAACAATCACTAACTTGGATACAGATGACCAGCTGTGCGGCGTCGGCCTGTCCGTCCGCTTCAACTCCCACCTCATCTCCATCTGGCACCGCGATTCGTCCAAGCAGAACTCGATTGACGGCATCTTTGCCTGTGTGATGGAGCAGCTCCCGGAGGAGCTCAGGCCCAAGGAGGACGGGTGTTTCTACAAGAAGCATGCGGACCACCCTGGGTTCAACCCGCCGCCCGAGCTCAGGGCCGTGCTGGATTCACAGCGCAGGGCGGCCGAGCAAAAGGCGGCCGGCGGCGATGATGCGGACGAGAATGTGCCGGCGGCGGAGGGCCAGCCGGAGGTCAAGGTGGACTCGATGCAATGATTTACGAAGATATGACACTCTGCGGAGATATGACTGCATTACGGGCGTTAGGGCACCCATTTTGGACGATTCCATCTTGGAAGATCAATCATGAATAGACACGAGCAGCTTCCCTGTCGAGAAAGAACCTCGTCATCGTGTGTGCCGACAACTTGGATATCGACACTCGAGAGGCCGCAGAGCGTGCTGATTGCATGCAACTCGTAATGTTCATTATCGTACGCCTCTGGTCCAGATCCCCAATAACGCCATGCGCCTTTCTCTCCCTGTGAAGAACCAAAACCATGGCCCCTTCACCGCCACACGCCAGCGCTCTTCATCACCCCGTCGAACTCTGTGACGCCGACGCCCCTCGAGACCCCGGCGCCTCCGTTGGCCTCGAGGATCATGTCCTTCAACACCTCCTCGTCGACGTCTTCCTTCAGAACAGCCGCCACTCTCTTGAGGTGTGCCAGTGTGATGGGCCCCTCACTCCCGTTCGTGAACAATCGAAACGCTTCGTCGACCTGCTGCTGGTGCGCGGCGTCATTGTCGGCCGACTCGCGGGCGTGAAACTTGAGCGCGCATATGGCGAAGAAGGGTTCGTAGGTGGCGTAGCCGTCCGAGTCGGGATCGAGGATCGAGTGGAAGTCTTTCAGCTCGGCTTGGTCCGAGGGAGGAATGCCGAGGGCGCTGGACAAGGGATTCACGGTCAGCATCTTCCCGTCGTGGCCACTGAGGATGCACGTACATGAGCGCTGACTTGACGTCTTCAATTGGCAGGACGCCATTCTTCTCCCCATCCATGGGTTCGGAAAAGAGGCCAAAGGCTTCCTTGATCTCACCCTCTTCCTGGGCCGAGATGTTGTGCTCTTTGGCGAGTTTCGAGCGTGGGGCCGCCTTGGGCTGGGCGGACGCGCCCGCGGCAGCTTTGCGCTGACGAGGCTGTCTCATTGTGTTAGCGTTCCGCTCGATGCATGGTATAGAGGTAGCTGAGCTTACCATTGACTCTGGGAAAACGTTGTAGAGTGCATTCGACAAGACCAGACTCGAGCACGCGGCTCCAGACCCGCGACAATGACGGTTACAGTGTCGCGTGCGGCGCATGATGTGAATGGCACTGTACGCCGCGAGTGACTGGAGCCGCCCCACCCACTACTTGTTGCACCAAAATTTCGCGTCGGTTTTCTCTTCTTGCTTCCTCCTCCTCTTCAACATCTCATTTACCACAACGACCAGACGTGCCACGATTTTGACGCAGCACAGGTGATCAATCATCACCCACGCGTAGTATGCTGTCTGTCTCGTGCGCAAGTTGGCTCTGGAATGGACAGCCAATTCGGCCGACCCTGAGAAAGGACAACAAAGTACAACCCAATCGCTTCTACAAATGCTAGAGCTTGCCGCCTCCTTTTCCCCAGAGCGAGCAAGTGTGGACAATGAAGCAAGATCAATAGCAGGCCAGATGAGACATCCAAGGACATCTTGGTGCGGTCTGGCTTCCGTGGCTCGCCTGCGGTGTCTGTCCATGACAGGCACCATCGCGGTCCACGGAGACATTTTGAAACTTGCATCATTCGGTTGTGACACCATGAGACGATTCCTGCCCTGGTGCAGTTCAACGATCATGTCACGTAGCGAGTCGTCACCAGTGGCAATTCCACGACAATAATGTGACATTGTATATGTACGGCTACCATTAGATCTTGGACTCTCCAGGCCTGCGAGGATCAGTCCTGCCTGCTCTTCTGGGAGACCCATGGGAAAGAAGATTACTGTTCTCACTTGAAGTTGTTCTTCATCTCCCTCAGCTTGGCCATCACCTTCACCGGCTCCTTCTCGCCTGTGGCCTGCTGGATGACAGGGTCCTGTGACGGGTCAGCACGCAGTCGGTAGACTAGAGCAAATAAATCTTACCTCGAGTCTCATAAAGACGTTGTGGAGCTGTTCAATCGTCAGATCTGCGCCATGATGGAGTGGCACAGGGCAACTTACCTTCTCGTCCTTGATGGTGAATTTGCCGGTGGTCACCTGATTCTCCTCGGCAAACTTCTCAACCTTCTTCACAGGCTCACTCTGCAGAACCGAGACGGCAAATTTGATGTTGGCCTTTGTATACTCGTGACCAGGCTAGACATGTCAGCATACGGACGGGTGCCATGAAATGCAAAGACTGACGTAGACAATGGTTTCATCTGGCAGAGAGGCGAGTCGCTCATTCAGAGCCTTGTGCATCTCCTCAGCGTTGCCCTCAAAGAACCGGCCGCATCCTGTGATGATGATTAGCCGGTGCTCGCACGTCCCCGCCAGCTAGGCCAGACACATACCGCCAATGAAGAGCGTATCGCCGGTGAACACGGCCTTCTCGTCTCCGTCCCTCATGTACCAGCAGATGCTGTCCTGGGTGTGGCACGGCGTATGCACCGCCTCAACGTGGATGTCGCCAATCTTGAAGGTGGACTGGTGGCTCGGCGTCTCGGAAACGCCTTCGCAGTCCTTGCCTCCAATGATAGTGAGCTTTGGTGTCTTGAGCTCCTCGAGCTTTGTGTGTGTTAGCCTCGAATTCGATGCCCGTCTGCGGTGTCTTACCAGCTTCTTGTTACCGCCAGAGTGGTCCCAGTGGCTACAGCCGTTAACTCTCGCTCAAACTCCAGCCCGCGGTCGAGGATTGTTCTTACTGATGGGTATTCACAATGGCTTTGAGGTTGATCTTGCCGCCCTCGATGGCCTCCTTGAGCACCGGTGCAACCCTATAGTCGTTAGCATCATCCCGTTGGTGCGTACCGAGGGGCGTCGTACTCTGGTGGGTTGGCAGGGTCAATGATGACAGCATCCTTGCTCTTGTCGTCGACAACCAGATATGCGTAATTGTTGCTACTCCCCACCCCTATTCACGCTGAGTGAGTCCCAAGTTCAGAAGTGAGGTGTAGCGGCTTACACATAGGAATGCTCTGGATATGCATAGCACGAGTGTTGGGCTGCCTATGTGTTAGCGTGTACGTCGTCGTGATGCTGCCCACAGACGAACCGATCGCGTGTAGGTCTTCACAGAGGTGTTGAGTAGTGTTCGGACTGGTGAGAAGCGATTCATTGCTTGCAAGGATACTCTATGCCTTCAAACACCAGGTGGATTGGTCATGATGATGCTCCTGCATCTAACGCGGGTGAGCGGAGATGCGCGTGCACGTGACATCCTAGATCATCAACTCCGTGAACATTACATCATAACGTCCGGCGAGTTCAGTTTTCAATCATTGCCAATTGTCGCTCGTTTGCAGGATCAAAGGGTGGCTGGGCCTGCATAATCGCCAAAAGGTGACTCGGTAGGGCGTATCTGCCTAGGGTCACTTCGACAACACAGGGCTTCTCACATGGTATCATTGGGGTATCATTTGCAACGCTCAACATGTACAACAATCAGATCGTCCCTATGGGTTTCGGTTTCCATGTGCCTTGATACATGGACCACGCGGGTCTCGCATCGTCAGGCTCAGCAGCGTTGCCAGCTTCCACTGCATCGCGCTGCGTTGTGGAGGAACTGGAGCCCACGACAGGTGTTTCTTCCCTGGCGAGATCTTCCTCCAGCTTCAAGCATTTCAGATAGGCTTGGTTCCCCACGGCTTTCTTCTTGACACTCGCCAGCGCCACGCGCACATGCTCCCACGACCATTTGGGTAACAGGACCTCAAGACTCTTTCCGCTCTTCAGACAGTCCGTAACAGCGGCCTCGCAGGTCAGCTCTTCGCCGAGATGCTGCCAGTAGTACTCGTAGATCCAGACCAGTGCCTTGCCAGCGGCGTTTCTCAGCTTCGCCAGCGAGGGCAGCTGCTCGTGCGTGCTCTGATGCCGTAGCTCGACAAACGTAGCAGGGAGATTGATCGTCTTGGCCAGGCTGTACATACTTTGCTTCCGCAGTTTGTCCTGCTGTCCGTCTAACAATCCCGTCACAAAGCTAGAGTATGATGAGCATCAAAGCCGTGTTGACTCGTTTCTCTGGTGGGCGTGCTTACCGGCTGAACGCAGCCGCGTACGCTGCGCGCGCAGCATACGCCGCCGAAGTGACCTTTCGACCGTCCGCCTCCCTCATCACCGTCTCTTCATCCCCTAGTTCCGCCGCCGCGAGCAGGGCCGTGGACTCCACCATGTGCGGGCAATTCCCGCGTTGCATCCACATGCTCACCCTGGCGACGGCATCATGTCTGTCTCTTCGCCTCTGCTCTGCGTTTCCTGACGACGGAGCCGTCTCTGGGCTGCCGTAAAACTGCCGCCGCACGAGGAGCAGCTCGTTCCGGCTTCGCCAGGGTGTGAAGATGTACTGCACCATGATCGATCGTCCCTCGTCCAAGTACGTGGCTGGAGATGACGACGGAGGGGGCGTGTGGGTGATGTGGAAGGTGCGACGCCGGCGAGTGATATCGCGGTTCTTGGCGGGATGGAATGGATCTGCGCGCAGGCAAACGGGAAAGAGATTTTCAACGAGCTGTTTTTTTTTTGCTGGCTGGTATCGAGAATGGTCTAAGATGCCTCCGCTACATGGACCCTGAAAATTTTGGCGCCGGCACTGCGTTTGCTGGAGATGAGATACAACAAGTCCACTTGGATGGGCCGAAGCTAGTTGATCTCATGGTGGTGGAGCGAACTTTGTTGGAAGACGTAATTAACGTCATTCATTTAGTAGAACTTTGGTCTGTGAATAGCGAGCGAGGAGTGATTGCTCCTTGTGAGCCTCGCGGCGAGTGAGGAGAGCTAGACATCGTAGCATCAAGCCAAGCTCCTGTAGCCTTGACCTTAGCCTCAACTGCCGGTCTCCTCACATAGTCACTGGTAGACTGTCTAGGATGGCGAATGTGCTAATATTGCGCATTCAAGTCGGTCTATCCCTGGTATAAGAAGTCATTCATAATTGCTCGATTGATGCTGCATTGACGTTAACCGCCCAGTTTCGCACGTAAATCAAGGGTTGATTGAACAAAAGAAAATCACTCAAAGAGGGTTCCAGATGAAATGGAATGGAGCATTCAGCATCTGAGGGTGTGAGTCTATCGAACGTCGGGCGCACAGACCGCCCAGTTCAGCAACTTCAGCCCCGAGCCTGCGGGGACGATGAAGGGGTAAAGTAAAAAGAGAAAAAGAAAGGCGCTAGACTAGCAAGCAAGCAAGCAAGCAAACTCAGCCAGGAATGTGATGCTCTCCTGTCGCAGGGGGGTCTAGTCCATGACAGACTCGTGTCGGCTTGTCCTCCCTCTGTATTGTATCTCGGCTAACGACTTGTACTCGCACCTGATTCTGGAAGAGGGCACATCAGCCAGCATGCGCTTGGTGTCGTTTCTTGACTGTTCCAAGTTGGAGCCGCGGGCCTGTCCAACAACCCCTGCTGCTCCTTCACGTCGACGAAAGACCAGCCAATCCAAGTGGAGAAAAACCAAGGTTGCTTGCTCCCTTTGATTCATGTTGGAGGACTTGCAGGGTGTGGAGGTTCCCCCCCCCCCTCCACCTGAGCACATGTCTGACAGGGGTTCCACAGCGACCGCCATCTCTTGGAGTTCTGGTCTGGTCACCACGCTCCGGCTCGAGCCCCGCCTGCGCGGTGCGCCGTCAAAATCACCTCAGACAACGGGAGAAAGGGACGAGGCGTTCGAGGTGGGTTCGACGCCCTCTGTGTCACACACCCCCCTGAGCCCACCGGGCCACCGCATCGCAAAGTAGCTTACCAGGAAGCCAAGCATCAACAAGTGCCAAAGGATGGAGTCAGGAAATGGCTCACGCGGCGGAGACGATTCATCCATCGATGAAGGAGACAATTCTTCTTCAAATTTCTTCAGTTTCAACCGGCCATTCTAGTCCCCGCTGCGGCCGATGCTAGACTATCTAATACCTAACATCCAAAAAAAATAGATGCTCCTGACCCGAAATGCCCTGAACGCTATCCTTGCCGTGGCACTCCGTGTGGATATTGCCTGTTCATGCCCGCTATTCTAAATGTCAAAACGCTCGCTCCATGTGTAACAAACTCCGGTAGAACCCAAGGAATCATAAAAGAGGCTCGTGTGGAGCACAGTAAGTGAAGCCATCGAGGACCGCCCCGTCACTCGTCATCTCCATCCTCCTCTTCGTCAGACTTGGGGGGCTCCCAGGCTTCCTCTAGGGTGAGGCCCTTTCCTGTTGCCTCCCCCGAGGGCCGGTAAACAGACCCCAGTAGTGAGGAGACAGTTGAGCGGTAATTGTCCAGCTGGGGGTCTTGGTCATACTTGGTTGCCGTGTCGTAGAGACCCATTCCAACCAAGATTTCACCCTCATCCTCGTCATTGCCATCAATCATAGCAGACTCTCCGCTGACTGCCGGCTGCGGAGCCTTGGTATTGACAAAGGCTTCAGGTGTGGGAGGGTTGGTCTGGCTCATGTTGTGAACCGCCATGTCGTCGCTCCAGTCGTCAGGAGTTCCCGACCCTCGAGCATATGTCAGGGTGGGTGGCCCATCGATGCTCATCTGGTGAGATGAGTCTGGGTAGTATGGTGTGGTGTGTTGTTGCCACGCTTCGGGGCTGACGTATTGGGGAACATTGGCTTGGGAGTAGCCCAGTGGCAGAGGGGAACACGCCGATGACGGTGACGCGTTTGTGGAAAAGGCGGCCATGTTTGGTGAGAACTGTTGTTGCTGTTGTGGCGGGTAATAGGCGGGTCCAGTGGTATAAAGACTGGGCGTCGAGAAGGGATAGCAACTTGATGGTTCTTGATATGGCTGAGGCGTGTAGAAGCAAGCGTTTGGGTGCCAGCTGAGAGGACGTGATGGCCTGGCGGTACGATCTGTCCTCGCCTGTGGGCACTGTTGTTGAAAGGCTATATCGTTGCCGTTTGCTCTCCTGCGAACAGGACTGGTGCTCGCACTGGCGGGCTTGGACACTCTCATCTTTGACCCGTTGCTTGGGGTGGCATAGCCTTTTCGTAACCTCCTCGAGGCCTCCGCGATGGCCATCTGAGTATTCCAGTCGTTCAGGAAGACATTATTGGAGTCCATCATGGGAAGGTACCCCGGCGAGTATCCCGCATTGAGGGAGTCCATGGTTGTAGTGCGAAGTAAAGTAGGAGGATCGTTGGTCAAGGAGAGCGTGTCTGCTCAGTCGAGGTTGTTTGTGATCTTGTGGGAGGAGGGAGGTATTCAAGTAAAAGTGCATTTGGCATGTCGAGTAGAAAAGGATGTAAAGCCAAAGAAAGTACGTATCCGTGGGTTGGTTATGTATCGTGAAATCGAGAAGATGACGGTCGACACTAACAAGAGCCACACTCCAGGGAGGAAGAACATGTGCCACATTTGGCAAGGCTTGGGACGCTAACGCCGGCTCACTAGGACAGTACATTTCCCGCCTCCCTAGGAGCACCCGGAGCGAGGTACTGTACGTACTCATCCGTGTACGTGGGTAGGCTCAGTTTGAGACCGGGGTCAGCGATTGATTGATGAGCCGTCGAATCATCAACAGGGGGCAGCGAAGAGATGCAAGCGCCATTGGACCCCCTGTGCTCCGTCGTGCGCAAAAGCGCAAAGTATCCGTACGTGGGTGGCTCTTACAGTAGCGGGATTGGCAGTACGGATAGACAGCAACTGATCCTAGCAAAGCCGATGGTCGTGTGGAAGTCCACTTGGAAGTCTGCGTCATATGGAGCCGTGAGGTAGGAGTGGAACCGTAGGCGGCGATGGGCAGACTCCACGTAAGGGAAGGCCCGGGTCTGGGACACAGTCCCCTTTCACCAACGTAGGATAGCGCCCCCGGCCTGTCGTAGCACCGGTAATACGTTTCTGTTGTATCGACTCCAGTCAATGTGAGTTTCCAAGGCCAACAACACACCTGCCTGCCCAGCTAGCGCCTCCAATGCGCCAAGCTGCCTAGTTGACACCACTGGCGCTTCAGCCTCCAGCTGGTCTTGCTTGCCTGGATGCTGCGTTGGCATGCAACAGGCCGCCCAGAAAGAGGTGAGCCCGTGCCGTTGAAAGTCTAGGCAGATCTCTTCCAAAGTCGGACAAAGGCCAGCCTGCTATTCATTTCACTACGATCCGAATGGTGAGATGCCAGGCTTGGCGCGAGATCTCCGGGACGGACTGAAAGACACTGCTCCAAGTTAATCAGAGTTCGCCAAGGTGATGACTCGAGACAATGGCCTGTAAACCAGCGAGCGAGCGTTCTGTTGCTATTACTTCGTACAAGCGTTCAGAATGCCAGGGAAGTACGTACATGTTGAGCAATTGCTAGTACTTTCGACTAGCGCAGGGCTACCCGCAGGTTTCCATGCATCCGTATCGCCGTCGCCGGCTGCCCATGTCTAGCGGCGTTTTCGTCGAAAATGCTTTCGCGGCAAGCCACCGCACCACACCCAACCAAGGTCACCTGCGGCGGGCTTGTCGGTGATGGATGTTGCTGCGCTGCGCAATGTGATCTGTAGTACTGATCCCGACGCAGGAAGTTGTGCCTAGACGGGTTTCAGCTCGCTTGGACGACTGGCTTGGGTATTTTGTCGATAATGAGACCGTGATTCGGATAGACTGCTTGGGAGCAAGCTGGCGGCTGCCTTGTTTAGCAAACGCCATAGCGAATCTCATCATTCCCTGCAGGGCATCGAGTCCTTTCCACAGTATTACTCGGGGATCAACAACTGGCGCTTGCCAATCAATGTGATGATCAACCCTTGTACAAGTATCTCACGCTGTTTGAATGTTGGTAAGACCCTGAGCCACCGCAGTTTGTAGAGGCGACAGACGGAAAGCCGATGAGCAAGACATGCTGATTGGCGCACGTAGTCTCGCTCTCGCTGCACAGGTGCTGATGCAGCGATGTTGTGTTCACGGTCCACCTAGCATGGAACAGCAGGGTGGCCTGACCTGGACCACTCGTGCCGCTTTTCTCCCTGTCATTCAGGTGCAATTTTTGAGACGCCGCCATTGACCCGCCAGAGCCAGGGCGGGTTCGGCCCAAAGCCTCGTGGATTGACCATCTCCTCCTCCATTGAGCATCCTAGCATTTTTTTGTCACTCCGCCCCGGCTCTCTACTGCGGATCTCTGCAGCGCCAAATCTCATGTCTTGCACATCTCTGCGGGGCGAGAGTCATTCGTTGGCGCCGCGAGCTTTGCTTAGCAGCTACGCACACACCAAATTTATGCGCTCGAAGGGTAATCGAAGCAATCTGATCACCGTCGTTGGTTCATTCGATACACACAGTAGGGTGTCCGTAGCTTCGTTGATGCACAGTTGCGTTGAGTGACCAAAGAAAAAGAGGGTTCAAAAGAGCATCGGAAATCTAGATGCAACGTCATCCATTATACTTTGTTAACAACCCCGTGTCAAATCAACGAAACAACAATGGTAATACTCGCCTCCTGTTGACTGTCACTGTCAAGAAAGCAATGATGGCGACCTTGCCTTCAAAGACATGTATCTGCTGGTGGCTTGCAACGCGGCCCGTGACATGAAGCCCCTGGTTGGAATTGTGCGTGTACGCACTTGTCGTTGTTGTAGCTTGCCGCTCGCTGATCCCATTCGCAATCCTAAGCTGAAGTACTTGCACAACTTCAGTCTCGGTCGCGCGAAGCACGAAGTGGAGTAGGGGGAACCACGGAGCTCGAATCTACCTTTGCACGGAAACAGCATCCCGTCCTGGTCTGACAGGGCGGCCAACGAATGTGGCGCGTTCCATCGGCCATAAGATCGTCAGCGAGATAATACGCACTACGAGACTACGTACAGTGGACATGGAGGCGCTGCGGCATGCCTGACTCTGAGTCACAGGCCTGCGTCGGTCTTTTTACCTGTGCAGTGCGTGCACACAGGGGTCCGGCCGCGGTCGAGGAGCCAGCTTTCGCGTCGAACAGGATGGTCGGTCCCCTTGTCTGTTGAATGTTGGTTGCGTGCGAATGAGGTGTGAGAATCGACTCGTGAGACGTCTGCTTCACACGGTGCACCTGCCAGTGAGGAGGTGCGAAGCTCAGGCTCCAGTCGGTGTCAGGCAGCAAAGTTCTGCGGTCTCATCATTATTAGCACGCAACTACGTTGACCCAGCCAGGATTGCACTGGTAATAATGTGACGGTGCGGCGGAGGGGCAAGAACTTTGTGCGATGCCGGTCAAAGTGCCTGGCGGCAGGTGAAAGGAAGGAGCGAACCGCCGAACACCACTTGCTGGGGCTGGGCAGGTGAAGCTAGGGCCCCGGGTACATTATGTGCCTCCAATTCTCACTGGCGGGGCTAAAAATGACCATTCACTGCCTTTCGTCGTCGGGTTGAAAATCTTAGCCAGGGTGCCAGGACATGGAGCTGCATCCCATTGATGATAAGCGGGAGGTGGGCTGAGCCTCTCTGACTCGCTCGATGAATTTCACCGCTTCGAGCATTGCGCTCAGCGACAGAATCAATGGTTCCGTGCTGAGTACCCGCTACTTGGCGACACGCCATTATTCCCATTCCTCCAGAGGTAGTCGTAACCTGCAAACACTGCACTGGCCGTCGAGGTACCTCATCACTGTTCACTGTCGTCTGATTCTCTCTTGTCCCTCGTGATGATAGCAGAAGGGGGTGTGATGGGACAATCCAGTCGTCTTCCTGTCTTTTGTTCAGTGATCGACCTGTCACCCGCCTCCCCGAGACCTCCGGCGTTTTTATTAGCCTTCGATGCAAACACGCATTGCTGAGGCAGGGCGGATGCACACCTGCACGTATTGAGTATTGACACAGGTGACAGATCAGGCTCCTAGCAACAAAGCACAAATGCTTTGAAGCAGGCTAAAGTAACAGCAGCTCCAGCCCAATCATTGATCCGTTCTTTAGAAGTATCTTTGTACTGGTTAGCGTAAGGTATTAGTTGTTGTCCTGGCGGCAGATATCCATCGGCCGCCTGAACTTCTGCCCCTTTTCCACGACTCAACAGGATATAATAATAAGCACGTATCGTGAGTCCAACGCGCCCAGCACGACGTGAACTTGCTGGCATCTCTGAATGGATCGACCGGGGTGCCATGAAGGCTGCACAGCGGCTGAGGTGGCTTTCGATGAATAGCAGCAATTGCCAGGTGATATTATTATTGACAGATGCCTTGCAACTTGTTGTGCGCGATGACCTCTTGGGCCCTTGGCCGACTGCGGGCAGTTGCCTCCGCCGTGGGCGGTACGCGTCAGGTCTTGTGCGTGCATGTCACGTCCCGCCCAGTCGTTCAGACCTCATGGACCAATGAATTTCGGTTTTGCGCGAGATCCATACAATTCAGTCAGTGTCCCTCCCCTAACAAGCCCCGGTGCAATGTGGTGCATTGCTGCATCCTCCTGTCCGTGTCCGTGTCCGTACCTACCATTAGCTGGCTAGTAGCCTTTGGAGCATCGTCACATTCATTCCGTCCCCCGTCGACGCTGCTTCTTTCTCATGTCGATGGATGCCTGTCTCTCCGGGCTTGTCACCATCACTCCACCCGCCGAGGCTCCCGAGTACCTACGTACGTACTTCATCAACCGCCCCTGGATCCATTCCGCGGTTCAGATGCAGTGCTGCTATGCAGACTCACTGGTGCCGAGCTGGTCATTTGTCTTAACTCTTGTTGACCCTCTTGTACAAGCATTTGTGTTCAGGGGCTGCGAAACAAGAGTTTTGGCGGTCAGCAGGGCCCATTTTCAACGGTCAACCCATCAGCGCGCATGATAACCAATGTTTCCACTGCAATCGTGGCATTCGCACTGCGCCAGAACCTGTTCGGCACTTGTCTATTATCATGATCCAGTTCTCTCGAGATCGCGCCTTCAGGTGTATTATCCTCACTTGGGAGCGCGACGAACCGAGACAGCGCCAACTCAGCGCTATTACCATGCATGATACATTTTCTTGGTCCTTACGCCCTCCTGGTCCATTCAGCCGCTGGCTGCGGCCATACGCCACCGCAATCTATCACACACTACTAATATCTACATGAAGACTTCCTTCCGACTGTTCATCCTGATGACATCCGCATGTCCGATTTGGTCGAATACCTCGCAGGGGGCATCCGAGGCTATCAATTTCTTTGCACTGATAGCCCCTGCCATCACTCATTAGTACTCACGAGCTCGGGCGGGGGCGGAATGCTACAGTACCTTAGGTACTGCTCGAGGCACATGAGCTAATGATCTTATTATTAGTCAAGTCATTGTACAATGCGGCCCTGCTCGTCGTTCGCAAGGTACATGTATCTCGAAGTTCAGGCAAGGGTGAAGCAAGACGAATTGTCTCATACGGGGCGCTTGGGCAACAGCTGGGAAGCGTCAAGCCAACAGCGGCGCCCGCTTATTAACGAGAATACGTATACCTTCGCTGACGCCGTCACGACTGATCGTGTGGCCGGAAAGATTGTGTGGTGACAGGCATACTACAAGTACGTAGTACGTATAATGCCGGATCGTATCACAGGCAACCTGCATGCGTTGTTATTCATGTGGACTGGACTCTGGATTGCACGTTCACCCGACATGGAGCTCTGCCACAATTACGGTAAACCTTGGCAACAGTTGAGGGGGATAGGTCATGTTGCAGAACCAAAAAGACTCATCGGAATTTCGTGACTACGCCCCCTGCCATTGTACATTTGACTAATGCCACACATCGACGCTATTTCGGTTTCCTTCAAAGGCAACACCAGTCGCCGGGCTCTGACACGCCAACAGACTCATCAGCTCGTGCTGTCGTGTCGGATCAGAATGCCATCCTACGTAAGTATATGAGCATGATCGACGCACGTCGCGCATAGCCAAATGTACGCTATGAGAGTCAGGCAGAGGAGGCCCAGAATACGCCTGCTAAGGCGCTTACGCAAGTACTTGTAATACTTGCACTACGTACCGACTACGGATAGCTAACTTTGATAAAGTTGCGAGTCTTCACACCCTACTGGCCGCTCTCCCCGCATCGGGACCCGGGACCGTGGGGCGGTCATCACGCATGGCATTGGGGGTTGTATCATCACGCCCCCTCCCTGTTCTGCCCAGCGGGGCGTGTTCACGATCCTTTCTCGTCCAACTCGTTCTCCTCCAAGGGCCAAGGCAAGGACCAAGACTCCGCGTGTTGATCTTGGCCGCATTCGCATGTGCCCCAAACTTGAGGGACGATGACCGGGCTGCAGCTGAAGTTGCAGCTGGCGGTGAATCTCAAATTTGCCTGTGCTTTGGGCATCTACCTAGAAAATTTCTCACGGACATTATTGTCTCGGGATCGCAAGCAGCGTGCAGGAGAGAGACAACGACAAAGTCTCTTTTCCTTTTCTCGTATCGGTCCGCCGCGCGTGTGTAGTTATTGATAATGTGGTTCCATGTGTGTGCTGACGTTGAAGGACGGAAAAGAGAGTTCGGGTTGAGTCATGCTTTCGCTGGATTCCAATCCACGTACGTCCCGTTCCGCACGCAATGGACAAAACGAGGCTTTGCGCTGATGAACTCTATGCTATCTGGACAAACGCATCACAGATAAGTTTTTCCCGACATTGTGCCCAGTAAATCATGTCAGGGCGCTTGTTACGTACGTACTTGGACAGTCCGTCTGCGACACTGCCCGTGGTGTTCCAGGGTAAGCACCGAAGCGATGTGTCTGTGGTCAACGTCAACTGTCTTTACAGCGCAGTGAACCCTAACTCGACATGTTCCTTTGCGTAAGGTGATTCAGTCTCTAAGCAGACTTGGAATCAAGCATCTCGTCTACAGGCACGTCGGACCCGCAAGCATCTTAGTCCTGATAGTATCTGGCGTGACAGAAACAATGAGGGCTGGACATGCCTTGATATTGCGGCCATCAACGGGAATGGCAAGATACAACCTCTGTGCCTGATAACGTAATACCCGCCGCGGTTCGAGACGCAGCCATTGCGCCCACACACAATAGATGACACCTTGGTGACCAGCTGTTGCATGTGCCCTCAGATCAAATGGCTCGTCGCTTGCCTCGGGATGCATGTGCTTGGCATGGCCGCCCTCGAACCGATGTACGACATGCCTATCTTAATGAACCGGATGATACGTAGTGGGAGCACTGGTGTAGAATCGGCGTGAATCCAATGATCGATACTAACCATTGGTGTGTGGAATTTGGAATCGGTAGCGCTGGTCCGATGTCTATAGAAGACTCCTTGATTTATTGGATCTAGACGCCATAGACGATAATGGATAGCATATGTACCAACGAGTGATCATAGCGAGTGTCCGGACAGTCTGAGGGATGATATTTGAACATTAGAAGCTTGTGAACTTACTGACAATCTCAACAGTGCGCTTATAGGGATACTTGTGCTCTACGTAGTACGCAGTGGTACATCAAATGGCCCGTCATGCGGCGGAAACAAACTCAACCTCATTGCGATGCTGTGTAAGCTGTGATCGAGTCCTTATTAGTGGACCTCCAGGCTCAGGCTTGCCCAGATGACCATCCTCTATTACTAAAATGCGGCCACCGGCAAGGCTCGACACTGGACGTGACGGTGGATGCGATCATCGCCATGGTTGACAACAATGCCAAATACACCATGTACACTACATGGAATCGGCTGTAGTTGCGCACATGTCCCCTGGTGCCGCATTGGCAATGTTTCTTCAGCCTCGTCAAGGCTGGAGCAGGACATGCCGCTGATACATGGCCTGGCGCTTTCAATGAAGGCTGCAATCCACAGCACATGTGACCTGGCCATGGGCCACAGAGTGGGTTTAGGCCACTACTTGTGCCTCCCAATGTAATCAGTACCGTTCCAAAACTGAGACATGAGTAGCGGACCGAAGTCGTTGCGACGCAGTGCGGCTGCTGGAGTCCGAGAAGGCGAAATGGTCACTAGCTTATATGTATATCTCGGTGGTGGAGGCATTGCTGGAATGTGAGCATGAACGCATATATCGGCAACTGGGGACCGGGGCTCAGTATTCTTCGATAATGAATGGTATCGCTCACGTTTCGAAGTTGTCGACTCTCACGGAATGTTGTTAGCCTGGTCACCTGTTGGTGGCATTTCCCGCTTGTTGACCAATAGTGGCCCAGCAGTGCTCACCTTCTAATTGCATATACGGATAGAGTGTTCGACCAAGAACATGACCGAACAGACATCAATCAATTCTTGAGCCCCTTGGGCTTGGATAGAAATGCCGAAACCATCGCCGCTGGAATTCATCAAAAAGAGCCCAACCTTGCGAGACAATAAACCCAAGATCCATCAACACGGCGAAGGGTATTGTCACATTGGCCGGAGTCCAGTCGCCGACGCCATGTCGCGCGCAACACAGCTGATTTGAACGTGCCATCCCAAACTCACCCGAATGGAAAGGCTCTGCCGCTCAGGAGGGTGAGACGGCTGGAAAGTCGCAGTGAGTCTCTCCTTCTATATTTCGAAAGGGCGTCATGCATCTCACCCTCGTCCATGATCCTATGGCGACCAAGGACTGTGCGCCTACCGCGCCGGTCATCATGGACGAGACTGGCATGGCGTTGAGAAACGACGTGTTCCTTGCGGTTGATGTCCGCGCCCAGATCACACAGGCTACGACGAAGAAAGTGGGCAATGCGATCCTCTGGACCATCATTGGCCCTTCAGCTACGACGCGAATGCTCTGCTACGTACCTACATGTAGCTACTGGGGTCGACATAAGCGTTGTTTGCTTCAACGCCTGTAGCTTGTCACGGGGAATTCCCAGCGGCTGATGTCGCACATTGATAGCCTGGCAACTCGTCGACTCGGGCAGAGCCATCTCCACCAGGACCAACAAGACTGACCAAGATCAGGTCTGATCTTTCGTTGGGCAAAGTGCCCCCAGCAATGTTCCGAGCGTGTTTTCCAACACTCCATGGCGTTGTTGTAGCGCTCGAAGCGCTGCCGGGCCTGGCGGCATTTGCTTCGAGGACAGTGCCTTTGCGTGATGGTGGTTTCGAGATGACCTTCAAGCTCGACCGTTGGCTAGGTGGCCAGCCTCCCTTGCTACCAGCTTGACGAGGTGTGGATGCCGAACGACCTTCGCGCACATGATCTGGAATGGGACAGTGTCACGCTCGCGTTGAAAATGGCCGCTTGGCGGGCGGGAGTACTGCATCGAACGGATGGTCAGGTTGGGCGCTGAGGTCCGCAGCCCGCGTCGAGACACGCTGCATCTTACATGTACCCTCGAACTTCGACCCAGGACGGACTGCGGCGCCACGGATCAATGACACAGTCGCATGCGCTTAGAAGAGGGAGCACGGCCACACAGAAGGAATGCCGCAATGCGGGCAGAGTACCTACATGTAGGTGGCATACTGCTGCAGCTGCACGTGTGCGCACTGCATCCGTGTCTTGTCTGCATTGTATGCATTCCCCTCCTCCGGCCCGCACACGCCCCTCTTCCAACAAGTCGCCTCCCTGCGTGGCGGGCACGGCCGACTTCTCTCTCTGCTTAATTAGCATCTTGCGAGGGTTCCTTACCTGTCCACTGTTACAGTAGGCGCCCGCATACAGGATCGAGCGACGTAAAGGATGCTGCCGCGCTCTGCAGGGTCATGTTTGCCATTGTGTGTATGCGTACGGAGCAATAGTGTGCAGTGGCATACCGCCACCACGCTGCGCTGACCGCCTTTCCTCGCGCACGAAAAGAGGCGGCCCCGCGACGCACGGGAGGAGAAGTCAGTTGTCCTCGTCACATTGCTCACGGCACCAGCTTGGCAGAGCAACGCGGGAGAGGCACGGCCGAGCGTCACATCGCCACGACATGGACTAATTATTACGCTGGCTCAACCGCTCTCGGTGGCTGGGCGGACAATGATCATGGGTCCAGCGGGCGGGCATCGAGGCCAGCTGCGTCGTGGGCTTACTCACTGCTCATCGCCCGTTCCTCGCACATGAATCCTGTGGTCATCCATCGAACAAGAACCGAAGCCCATGTCAGGACTCAGGATCAATTGAGACCAACCGCCCCGACGACTGCTGCCGCCCGAATGTGTCAGCCGGTCATGCTTTCCTTTGGCGTGGCTGATCCTTGGGGAAACTCCATCACCGTGATGCCCTGGCCACCACCGAGAAGGCTCGAGCGACGGATCTTTCACAGGGCTTGTCGAATATTGGCTGATGGAATCCCCAAACAAGAAGTTGAGCATCCGTGTTGCAACATTGCATTCGGGGACTCGCAGCCCGCGGCTCCTGTCTCTGTTACGCAGCAATTTGCTCTTGAAGAGACGCAACTGCTGAGCATTGGCGTTGACAACAACTAAACCTCAAGCTATTGATTATAGTTCGCTTCTAAGCATTTGTTCAAGGTAATTAACCTTCTAATATAGTATGGCAGATCCTTGGTAGGCAAGAGCCCTCGGCCGGGCAAAGTCAGAGTCGCCCGCAACATTGAAGCCGTGAATTGTTTACCTAGTAGGCTCGGTAGAAGAACGCACACAGCCGTGTCATAAACAATCGGTTTGTCCACTCCCCCCTTGCCTTCATCGTATTCCACGTCAAGATCACGCAAGATGCGATTCGATGACACCATCCATTTTGATTCATTGGCCGAAGGGGTTTGTTGCCCCCTAAGGTCTTTGTTTTGGGCTAAGCGCCATGTCCCTCTCCTGAGCCGCACTCGTGCTGTCAGTGCAACTGGGAGTTCTCTGGAAGAGCCTAGAGCACTCGAGTCATTGGCCGACTTGTCTGAAGAGATCTGGCTGATGATCATGAACTACAAGTCCTTGGCTCAACTACCTGACGACATCTTGGTCCTGATTATGAAACAACTGTCCCCAGACTCGCTTTGGGCACTCAGACAGACCTCTTCAATCTTTTTTCGAATCTTCAAATCTGAAGACTTTTGTCGGTTTCATGGAGAACCAGGTTGCCATGACCGCCACTGGCCGTTTTCGCTGCGTTCTCTGACGCCAGATGAGCGTGAGACTGTCAGGAAGTATATACGACCATCAAACGCCGCCCGCAAAGGCACAATGGCGATGGAACGCTGTGGCGCATGCGCCGAGGTCCACAAACGCGGCGAACATGACCGTCGTCTTGTCAGGCTTCGCAGACTATACTTTTGCCATGCTTGCAAAGAGAACCATGCAGGTGTCTTTTTCTCCGCCCAAAGCCTAAGAGAATATAAAAGAGGTGCCGACATTATGTGTATCGGAAGGATAGGCTGGTCGACGCTTTGGTCTCAAAGCTCCACTCCACCTATCACTTGGGAAACACTGGACAAAGTCATGTCCCAGGAGGGATACGATGACACGACTCTGGGGACATGGGACTTTCCTTGCGCCACCTCGCCAGTGGAGGATGACCAGAAGAAGCGCAATCTATGCAAGGTTCCGATACTCAACAGAGAACCAGCATATGAGCATGAGCATGTCACGCTTGTGTTCGGATGGGACCTTCCTCTATTCGAAATTGATGCTTCAGAAACACCAAGTCTTGGGGCTATTCGAGAATTCGCCGCGAACTTGGTGAACAACGGGGTGCTACGGGGCCTACAATGCTGCCAACACATGGTAGACCGAGGTGTGCTCCAGGACTTCGCCATGTCCGGCATCTGTGGATACTTTGCAACACTAGACAATGACATTTTTCATGGGGTATCTTACTCAAGAAAAGATCTTACGTGCTTATGCGCTGGCGAGCGGGTCCAGGACTGTGAAGAGTGCGGTGGACAATACGGCTGGCGGCTTCTTTCGGGTCGAGTCTGGCTGAGCTATCGCTACGTCTGGAATATACGCAGAGCAACAAGTCCTGGATGGCTTGGGTTGGTGGATGACATACCGGCTCTCGTGCACGATGACGATAGCAAGTATCTTCTGTGGTGCGACCAACCAGGATGTCTCACGGGGCAAGGACGACGATGGATGGAGCTGGTCAAGGAGGTGACTTGGCTGCAGTGTTTCCGATTCGAGGCGACCAGAATGATGGTTGATGAGACGGAAAGAATGGCCGGGGACATGGAGGATATGTTGACGAAGAGGAACGAGGGAGGGCCTGACCGAAGGTATCAATGCCCTCCCCAGTTGCCTGAGGCCTACTTAAGCAAAGAAGAGCTCCGCAGACGCGCCGACAAGGTGCTGGAAGAGATCAGATCCGCCCGCGAGGGAGGCCCAAGGACGTAGCCCGAGGTCTGAGGGGCGTCGAGCAGCATTTCCTCCCAACGTGGGCGAGCATTGGGCTGTAGACGTGTCCAAACAAGCCCAGCGGTCGTTTGAAGAGCAAATGGAGGTATTTGGTTTGTGTCTCTTCTAGACTAGATATCGGCATGACGGTTTTGGCGCTGATTCGAGACTAGAAGCACCACATCGGAAGTGAAGGGTCGGGTATTAATCGCTGATTGAGGATTGAAGCAAGGCTTAGTCGAGTATCGAGTCATTGAAACATAATTGTAATCGAATATTGTGAGTCACTGCCAAGGGATTGCAAGACAACCTAGTCGTGGTAAGCAGTGTAGGCGGTGGTGAAATCGCAAGATAGGGGACTGGTTTCTGAGGTGAAAGCTGGAGGTGGTCAGGCGACTGGTGATAGACGAGGGGGACCAACAGAGGCGGAATGCCGAGTGCAGGGTAGCCCAGAGTGAAGTCGAGCTAGAGATCCACAGCATCAATGCCGTCGCGCCGGATCTACGACTCGTACCAAGGCTGGACAAGGGCACTTTTCATGATGACGGAAGGCAGAGCGAGTCTGCGACACCAGACAGAATTGCCCACTTGTTCATCTCTTCCCGCTGGATGAGCGCGAACAGATTCCACCCTTCGTTCCCAACCCCCCTCTCATCAACATACCGGACAGCGACTCCAGCCAGCTGCTGCTGCTGCCGCCGTGACACTGCCCCGCGATTCCGAGTTTCGAGCCATCGTCGCTACGCGACGCCACCACGTGCGATGAGCCCTTCTGGAGAGAAGCACGTTGTGTTTCAGGATCATGGATCGGAAGAAAGTGAGGACGACACTACGAGCTTAGAGGTATAGTGATCTTCAGAGGCTCTCGAGGAGTCTGTCACAATCCATGGTACTCCGTAGGCTAACGAGCGTCCCAAGGTCACCTTCGACCCCTCCAACCCGTACCGACGCAAGAGCTCGCTCGTATCCTCCGAAGCCGTCAAGCCAACGCCACAGCACCGCACGAAACGAGACGAATGCATCGTTCATCAGTTTTTCGAATCGCAGCGCAAAGCCCAGGGCACGGCCGGCGGGAACGGTAGCACCCACTACCTGGCGCATCAAGTCTACAACCAACCCGAGAGGAAGCAGCAGCAGGAGCAGGACAATGCCACCGAAGCAGCCAAGCATGAGGCCACGTCGACCGTCGAGCCCAAGGACAAGCCGGCAAAATCAAGATGCGAGGTGTTGGCCGATGGCCACGCCGGGCAGTCAGACCAGGAGTCGTGGACGTCGCACATGACACAGAGCATGTCGGAAACGGACCTCAGCGCCCCCGACGACGCGCATAGCCGCACGCTGACCAAGAAGCAGCTGAGCGACATGGCGTGGGGTGTGCGTGAGCTGAGCAGACGCCTTAGCAGCATGCGGATCCGCTTCCGCGTCAAGACTGTCTTCATTCTGACAAAGGTGTACGACCAAGACCTGATACCCAAGACGAGAGAGCTCACACTCTGGCTGCTGGATAGAAGCAGAGACGTGAAATACACAGTGTACATTCAGGACAAGCTCAAGACCAACAAGAAGTTTGACGTCCAGGGGTTGATGGAAGCGGCCGCCAAAAGCTACGTGGCGGCGGGCGAGGTGGACCACGAACAGGCCATGGACGACATCAGCAGCCGATTGCGGTACTGGGACGAACCCATGTGTAAATCCCGACCGCAGACATTCGATTTTGTCATCACGCTGGGCGGCGACGGGACCGTGCTATACGCCAGCTGGCTGTTTCAGCGCATCGTGCCGCCGGTGCTCAGCTTCGCGCTCGGCAGCCTGGGCTTCCTGACAAAGTTTGATTTTGAGAATTTCGCGCCAACGCTCAACTCCGCGTTCGCCAATGGCGTGACTGTCAGTCTACGGCTGCGCTTCGAGGGGACCATTATGCGCAGCCAGCGCAACGCGGAGCTCGAGCCTGCGTCATCTTCGTCCGAGGACGAGGCAAAGGGACGCGATCTCGTGGAGGAGCTCATCGGCGAGGAGAGGGAAGACGCGCGCACACATCGCCCCGATGGGACCTTTGAGATCCTGAACGAGATTGTTGTGGATCGAGGGCCGAACCCGAGTAAGCCTCCGCGCACCCATGCACCTTCTTCCCATGACACAACACTAACAAGGCGACAGCAATGTCCTCCACAGAGCTCTTTGGCGACGATGAGCATTTCACCTCCATCCTCGCCGACGGCATCTGCGTCTCGACACCCACCGGCTCGACGGCCTACAACCTCGCCGCAGGCGGATCGCTCTGCCACCCCGAGAACCCCGTCATGCTCGTCACCTCCATCTGCGCCCACACGCTCTCCTTCCGGCCCATCATTGTGCCGGACACCATTGTACTGCGCGTCGGCGTTCCCTACGATGCGCGCACGTCCTCATGGGCCAGCTTTGACGGCCGGGAACGCGTCGAGCTCAGGGCTGGCGACTATGTCACGATTAGTGCCAGCCGGTATCCCTTTGCTTCCGTGCAGTCGGAGGGCAGGAGGAGCGAAGACTGGATCAACAGCATCAGTGGGAAACTCGGGTGGAACACGAGGCAGAAGCAGAAGTCATACACAGAGTGGAAGTCATAAAGTTATTTTCGTTGGCGCATGGCGTCCATTGGAATCTGAAATAAACAAGCAACTCCGCTATCATGACAAGTCATAACTATACCAAGCTCCTAAACACCGTGCTGTATACCAGAATAGCCTCTGGGCCTCGGAAAGCATCAAACACTCTCTCTCACGCCAAGCGGCTTCCGGGCGCTCTCTTCGTCCCTGAACCGCGTCAGGTCGCCTCCGATGAGCTTCCTCAGGTTGCCCACATCCTGCATGTATCGCCTCATCTCCTCTTGCAGGTCATCTTCGCTGTAGGCTGTGCTCTCAGAGTCATAGTCAAGATCGTCTGGATCTGACGGCTCGTCTTGGTTCTCCTTATCCTCGTCATCACTGCCAGCCTCTCCCATCTCCTTCACCTCAAAGTGAGGAATAGGGTTCTTGAGACTGTCAATGGCCAACTTGAGGTGAAGTTTGAGGGCCTCGTTCTCCGTCTGGAGCTTCTTGATTTTGCTTTCCGACACCATGCTGCGCTCCTCCATCATGCGTTGCATGGTGGCCACACGCTCTTGGTATTCCTCCAGACGCTCCTCGGCCTTTTGTGCATTCTTCTCCTTCTCGCGCGAGTCTGACACGGACATTTGCAGGAGACGAATCTCCTCAGCCATGGCTGCGATTTGCGCATCCCGCTCCGCGGAGGAGATTTGGTCTTGGTTGACGACAGCTCGGGTCCAGATGCGCTTTGCTTGGTCGGCATATCGCAGTGTCGACAGTGTCTCGTCGTAATCTGAGGGAGCGATACAAGCAATCATGGCCGTCTTGCTGTTGCCGCCCAGCGAGTCCTTCAACAACCAGGTCAGGATGGAGTCGCGGTACGGGACCACATCCTTCCTCTTGCCCGACCTCAGGGTCTTGGAATCCGCGAGAGCAGCGATCACACGCCCAAGAGTAGTGAGCGACTTGTTGATGTTGCTGCCCTCACGGAGCCTTGCACCGGTCGCCTCTGTTGATTTTGCCCTCTCGCTACCTGCCAAGTCGACGAGCCTGATCCGTGAGCTGCGTTCCGTCGTCTCGTCCGTCTCCATGTCGTGGTGAATCTGTTTGAGCATAATGGTGAAGACCGCGTGACTGCGACTACTGGTGTCGTTCATCTTGGTGCTCGCCACTGTTCTCGAGGAGTCGCCATTGGTCATGTACCGCAAGATCTCGTCAATGTTGCGGACGGGTACCTCTGTCAGGTCTTTGACATAGGGTCCCTCTGTCGGTGACTCGCGGATTTTGAGGTAGTTTGGAGGTTTGTTGGGTACCACAGGCACCAGCAAGTCACGGACGTGTTCGTTGTAGACCTCGAAATACGAGACGCGCACATTGTAGGCCACATTGGAGTCCTCGTTTTGGGCCGCTTCGATGCGTTCGAAAAGGTCTTCGCACGTCCGCGGAATCAGGCCGGGCTGGTCTGGCGTGCCCATCATTGTGTAACTCTTTCCAGAACCGGTCTGACCGTATGCGAAGATGCATGTGTGGTAACCCTCGAAGTTGTGGTCGAGAAACTCCTCGCCCAGGCTGTTGTACACGTCGGCTTGGTGAGCATAGTGCTTGTCCTTGACATCATGGCTCCAGAACGAATTGTCAAAGGTGAAGCTCTTCTCTTCAATGACCTTGCGGGACTTGGGCTGCTGTTTCAATTGAATGGAGGTTTCGGCGTCGTCGGGTGAGAAGAGCGTTGTCTGCTGTGTCATGGGATCCATCTCGATGAGGCATCTCGCCCGCTTCTCGAGCTCTGCTCGGTCAGTCATTGATTGCGTCCAAGAACTGATTTCACCAACCTCTCTGCAAGAAAGCTCGCACGCGGACGACAACGCGCACATTGCCTCCGCCGTCCATCCTGGCTAGCAAGGGGAGTGTCCCATCTCTTGAACGCAACGATGGCGTGGAGGCGGAAGAAGGAACGTGGCACACAGACGGCGAGGGCGAGTGCGCGGGACTCTGTCGTGGATCTGGAGCCATCTTTCGCAATGTCTGATGAGGGTCGTGAGCAGATTCGTGAAGTCGTTGGCGAAGAATGTGGTACATTCCCTCCTGGAGGCTCGTGGGCCGCGGGCCACTTTTGTTTACTTGGGCAGGAGCTGTTGCCGGGGTTGCAGCGCCTGCGGTGGTTGGATCTGCGGTGCGCTGGCGCGGACAGGGGTCAGCAATTCGATGATCTCGTGCAACGGACAGGCTCGAGTTGTAATGCTGCACCAACGAGGCCAGGATTCGAAAAGAATGATTTGAAGCCATCAATTCATGGTGTTAAGGATGGTGATACCTTCTGCCGTCCGAAGTCCACATGCAGTGTTTACACTTTGTTCTTCGAGGTGGCTCACCCGAGCAACCACAGTGACGCTTGTGTGACAACCTCCAACGAGACAGTGGGCGAGATCCACTCCCACCAAGGCTGGCCGTAGGGTAGGCAAAGAGCTCCGCTGGCAACAGGGCACACGGATACTAATTACGGGGCCTAATCTTCACACAGCACTTGCAGATGTTCGCGATTAGAAGGCTCGGGATTTCAGATGGGATTTTCTCAGGTATAGTCTGTAGTATATACATTGACTTCAATTTCGGAACGCTCGCAGTCAAGCTGACCGACAGGACTACTCTGGTCCTCCACCCACCTCCTTCTCGGTGCTCACTGCACGACCCCTACCCCACTACACCGACGAGTCGACAGCTCCAACTATGCGCCTAACTTTCCACCCCAACTACCATCACTGACTACCTAGCTTCACCATTTTTCAGCTGCACACGCGACGCATTGAACCATTGTATCCGAGACCAGAACTATGGAATAGACTGAATTACCAGGACTCCGCGACCGCCTCCGCGATGCTCCCAACCGAACACACGCGAAACGTGACCACCTCTCGAAGACAGCATGGAGGAACCTTGGCTTGATCCGGGCGCAGAAAGGCCAGCTCCCACCGGCCCTGTCCCGCGGGACGAAGAGTTGGACGCTTCGAAACCGACAGGAGACATTGCAGATACCGGAGAGGTCGTAGATGTTGGCCCAAGCACAGAGCAGCCAGAGCCTGAACAAGGACCGGTGCCAGCACCACCCGCGCCGTCGCGACCTGGACTACAGCGCAACTCACTCGTGGCCATAGAGCCAATGTCCCTCACGCCCGCACCGGATCCGCCTTCTGCGACGAATAATAACATTGCTGTCGATGGCGTGCCGACCGACTCCCTCTCGCTCATGCAGCTTCGGCGCATCGTTGCAGAGGTCAACCGAGCCGAACCACTGGCGTACGACTTTGAGTACACAGACTTCGGTCCGCACGCCGAGGAGCTAGACGAGTGGTTCGGATATCAATTCTGGCAGTGGGTGCGCCTAAACTCCTGCCAGAAGGCATTCGAGTGGCACTGGGACAATGAGAACGCGACGAGCGCCGCAGAGGTACCGGCCTGGGACGACGCCGACAACGAAGTACGAACGAGGTTCATACGTGCGGCCATTGGAGGCGTGCAGAGCAACGATGCAGCATTACGCTCCGCAAGCATTGGGAAGCTGGTCTACCTGGTCCTTGGACGATGGGGCGATACAGCCATGCCGAATGCCACGGCCGAGGACACAAAGTCCGTGGCGAGCATATCTCAACTGAGAGCCATCAAGGCGGGTGTGGAATGTCTGACATCATTGGATGGTCTGCCCGTCGTGTGGGAAGCTCTCAGGAACAGCTTCGAGGTGCACTGGTCGGGCGACCAACAAGGCACGTCGCAGGAATCCCAGGACGAATTGATGAACTTGATGACGATCATGTACTTCGCCATCGAGGAGGCCCTGCACGACCCAGAAGACATGGCGGCTACGCATGGCAAGCTTCTGGAACTAAACCCTTCGTTGGTGGATTTCATGCTGTCGGCAACGGCCAAGTTACGGTGGGACGAGGCTCAGTCGATGCCGCACATGCAGATTTTTCTGTTATTCTGGAAATCAATTCTGTTGGTGTTTGGAGGCGGCGAAGAGCTCGAAAGTGTCAAGGAAGCGACCAGCGAAGCAGACGCCAATGGCCTTGACAAGGAGACCATCACAGCATCGCCGCTGGACTACCATGTCTTTCGCCAAGAGATTACATCCAAATATCCCGCCTACGTGCCACCGAGGCCTTCTATACCCCTGGAGGCAGAGAATACATCACTTCTACCACCCCTGCCGAACCAGACATCACGGCACAGTGCTGGCAACGGGATCGTCCCAGCGCCGCCCAACATACAGAATGGGGGCGCCTCGATCTTGGACCAGCCAGTGCACATTGCGACGCCCGCGCCGTCACCACCGCCATCGCCAGGCGTGGGCAAAGGCGGCAAGAAGCAGAATTACCAAACGAATCAGAACTTTCCCTTCATGTACCCTCCGCTCGATGCTACTAGTAACAGCGCAGGCGGGAAAGGTCTAGCTGGGATCAACGAAGCCCTCGTCAGTCGACGCTGGGAGGGAAGCGATATCCCCGCATCAATCCTCGAGGCCGGCGAGCTCTTCTCGAGCCGCGTGCGTATGACGCGCGCGACGAGGCAGCTGTGGGAGGAACGGGAGTTATTCCAGAAATACGACCGAGGGTGGGACCCTGCACCCGCTGGCGATGCTGATGACGATAATGACGATATCGAGGACCTGGACCTGGACGAGCTCACCGTGGAAGAGCGAGAGATTCTCAACGAGATCAAGATGGAGGACAAGAAACAGGAGCAGCCTCCGTTGCCGATGGACTCGGGACCAGACTTTGGACCACGTCCGGAGCGTTTGAGTGAGAGGGACAAGCAGAGGCTGTGTGCGGTAGAGAGTTTTTACGTACGTGTTTTGGTTCTTCTCAACCAGGAGAATGCTAATCTTTCTAGCGCGATGCCCTGCCTCACCTTCAATCCTTGGTCATCGTCCTACTGCGACCTATTCTCAACAACGTCACAGCCATTGTTTCGCAGCAATCACCCGCCGGTGGACCGCCAGGCGCCGGACCTCCCAGGGGACCCCAGCAAGGCATTAATGGCGCTGTGAATGGGCCTCGGCCGCAAGAGGCACAAGCCCAGGGTGCACACCATTCACCACCAGAGTCCCCAGAGATGTCGCCCGAGGAGCTGGATGCGGCGCGTACCCGCGAGATCACGACCAAAGCCATGACCGGCATACTCCTTCTGCTCCTCAAATGGCTGAGGGCATCCCGTGAGTGGTTCCGTGTGATTAACGGAGCAGAACACAAAACTAACGATAGCAGACGTCTTGAGCTACGAGTACCTATCGCAACTTTTGCTGGACTCTAACTACGTCCCACTGGTTTTGAAGCTGTTCGCCCATCAGGATATTCAGCAGGTCGTGGATAGCAAGACGGACCGAGCTGAAAACAGGTGAGCCCAGCCTCTTACTGCTTGCAAGACTTTAGCTAATGAACTAATTAGCTTCTTCCACTTCTGCAACCTCCGGTCACGTCTCAAGGATAAGTTAGAGGGAGAAGAAATCGACGAGGAGGAGGACGAGCAGCACGAGGCCGAGGCCCCGCCAGCCGACGTGGAAAGCGAGGACGACGCTGCGCCTCCTCCCATTCGACGGAGACGCCATCCCACGGAAGCAGATGGTCCTGCCACTGCCAATAATGAGCTCGACGATGCACAGCGATCCGCGCAAGAGCCCGAGGACGACGAGGGTTCGACGCGTCCTGAAGTAGACGAGCTCGGCTATCCGGTGACGAACATTCCAGAGGAGCCCATTACGGATTTCTCGCGGCGAAACTTCTTCTCCCTCATCAACTACCTGCGCATCATGCAGAAGATCTGCAAGGGCAAGGCACACCGCAACCTGCTGCTGGTGCAGTATAAGTCATCCACCATCCTCCGCAAGTCGCTCAAGATACCGCAGCCGGATCTGCGACTGTACACGCTCAAGCTCTTCAAGAACCAGGTGCCCTACTGCGGCCGTAAGTGGCGCCAGGGCAACATGCGCGTCATCACGGCCGTGTATCTCCACTGTCGTCCTGAACTACGGGACGAGTGGCTCGCGGGCAGCGACGTCGACGCCGAGGTCGACTCTGCGCTGCCTCTGGAGCAGGCGCTCCGTAGCCTGACCCACTGGCGGAATCTGAGGCGCTACCCGGAGAAGATTGCGCCTAGGATAGGCAGGAAGCTGAGGGAAGAGCAGGGCGATTTCTTTGGGCGAGAGCTGGAGAGGCTGAATGTTGGATGGCAGATGGGCGACGATGGAGAGATGGAGGCAGAGGGATGGCCGTGAGCTCTCATCGGCGGACCATGCCGATTACCTTGGGTACCATGTCCATCAACGTGTCGTCCGCGATCCGTTTTTGTAGATCAAGCGACGACCCTGACGGCGTGGGTTAGCCTCTCAGACTTGTCTTACACTGTGAAACATTCTTGATAAGTGAAAATCACTATTATCTATATCTGCATATGCTGGTTGTAGGATAATGTCTTGTATCCAACGGGTATCTCCGCATCATGTCTCATCTGTCTCACGTTCAGCGACGTTCATAGATTCCGTCCTCATATCGATAGTCCGGCGCAGGCTGGTACCCGCCCGTCCTGTGCCCCGTGTACGGGTTGCTCGTCTCATAGGTCTGCGTGGGAAAGTCGAAATCGCCATATGTCTCTTGGAGGTTGTATCGCTGTGGACTTTGTGGGCTCACTTGGTCATCCACATTGTCCACGCCGTCGTATCGTTGTTGATGGGAGTATCCCTGATATCCGGCATATGCTTGCTGCTGTGGCTGGCCGGAGTAGAGTTCATATCTCTGCGGCTCGGGGGCTCCGTGAGCCACCCCGACCTGGCTCATGTGCTCGCTCCGAGCGAAGCTGTCGGTCCGTGGGTTGGTGACAAGCTCACCGGGCGTGGTGTGCTCGGGCAGCATGTTGTCTTGCTCCATCTTTTGAGCTGGCAGTGCTCGTCGTTTGCTGAAAAGACGAGCAAAGAACCCTTTGGGAGCTGTTGATGTCACGGTCCCCGTCTCATCCTTAGGTTCATGTTCGATGGTAGATTCCGGATCGACGGGAAGAAGCCTGTGCTTCTCGCGGTAGATCTGGCGAGCGAGGAAGAGCTCAACGGCAATGGCTCCCAGTGAGAGGAATCTGGAACAGATCAGTTAGCGTGGGAGAGCTGAATGTGTAGAGAGTACAGGGACTTACATGCTGATGATGCCCACGGCGAGCACGGCACTCTGGAGTCGACAACCCGTCCCGTAATCGGGGAGGACAACAGAGCCGCCGGAGCCGCCGTCCACCTTGTCGCCTTCTTTTCCCTTTCCCAACACACCCGCGTTGACATTGTCCCCGGAGCATCCACTCGCGCCGGCCCTGTATGTGACGCTCACGTATATCCAGCAAATGGCGAATGCAAAATTGAGGATCATCTGCGCAGCACATTTCGGAACGGATACGAGCCTGGATAGCAGGACGAGTGTGACAAAGGTGTAGAGGATGGAGGCGCCGGATATGCCCTCGACAGCCGGGATGGAGTCTGGCAGCGAGAGGGAGTGCGAGGCCAGGATGGCGAGCAGGTACGTGTTGATCGAGAAGGTGATGATGGAGGTTAGGAGCAGCGGCGTGTACACCAGCCACTGGAGTAACTTGAAGCCCATGGTGGCTGTTCTTGGGCACGATAGGAAATAGGAAGATATATTGATGCCGCAGCCGATTGATGGACTGAAGATGGAGTGACACCAGACGAGAGGAGAGGCGTACAAGATGCAAGATTTGTAGGAGTAGTATGATATTTCAGAGATGCTTCGCATCCGCTCCGCGAGCGGCACCCGGTATTACGTATGCCATAGCCTCACCTTATATTTTGCTTTCCCACTAGCGAAGACGAAGAGGCATTGACTGTGGCGATCTTGAAACTTTGGGAACGCGTGGATGTGCTTGACAGTGTGGCTGGTGCAAGAGCATGTCGTCAGGCTGATGAGATTTGCGTGGAACGATTGGCTGCGACATCCCGCTAGCCACACATGAGTGCCGAAAATAGATCAAGACGAACTGCGCCACACAGCCGGTTTGGTGCCAAGCGTCAAAGACCGAGCAGACGAATGCGTACGATTGCTTCACTTTGAATGTTCAATGTGTGTCGCCGTTGTTTGTGGATGTTCTCGTGGCATTATCTCTTGGTGATTTTCCACCATTTTCCACGAATTTTCGTCACAGGGTCCATTCAATTGATTTTGTCGGGTATTGGGTCCTAGCTTTTGTCACTGATGCCGCCTTGTATCTAGCAAAGGTGGTTCAGTGGACTTGCCGGACTTGCCATAAAAGAATACTATGCCCCCTTCTTTGATTCCGCTTCGATCGATCAAGCAATCACCACAGTACAAAAAAAAAGAGTGCTCGAAGTGCTGGCAGCCGTCGTGATGGTCAGTCCATTGACTGGCAACCAGTACGAAGGGATCAGCTCCATGCTGGTTCTACATACCCTGTACTGAGGTCTCCCTCAGCAAAGCAGCATGCGCGAGTTCCTACGCGACTATAAGGACAGTGCCCTCTTCACCCATAACTTATCGTAACGTATTTCTACACTCCAATCCCCATCATGTCAAGGTGGACTAGTGCCTCAAAATCAGAATTGCTCAAAGGCACTGACAGTGACAGCCAACGTGGGTCTCCGGTTGTTAGCCTGACTTTTCACGCTTCCAAAACAGATTGAGCTCGTGGGCCGTAGGCCGTAAACGGTGGCGCTCTTGTCATTTCTGGGCCGGAGTTAATCGTAGTACTGAATCGCGAACACTAATACTTAATGAACGGTAGATAAGTCACGACCCATAAGCTGCCGCATTGGCCGTGATAATGCTGTTATTAGCTGGTGGTCGCGTAGAGGCGCAGATACGAGACTCTGCCACGTCTTTGGTATGCAAGGCAGATGTACCTCGCCCTCTTCCTCGCCCTCTTGGCGGGCGGTCGAGCCCCTATGGCCGTCACGCTATCGATTGACCAGGCGATGGCGCTCTTCAGCTTTCGTGCGCGCACGACAGAAGCGCACTGCTGCGTCCATGTCGGCACGCGATTGCCAGGCCAGGCCAGGCCAGACCGACAAGGTAGTACAGTAGGTCAACAAGTCCTGAACGACAATCGACCAGACACAAAGAGAGTCACGCGCTGTACGTACATGTCGTCAATCAGCATGGAGAGCGCGGGCCGAGTTGATCGGAAATCAGATCCGCCTTTTTCTCACCGAAAAGCAATCTAATACACCACCATCTCCTACGTTTAAGAAGCGGTTAGCACGGGCGGGTCAGATACGACCACCACACCCACCCACCAACAACAAGTCTCTCTCGACTCTTCTCTCCTCTCAGCCCGACGGCACACACGGTGACACTGACACGCCACACATCCACAGGAGCTCGAAGGCTGGATCTCACTGCGCATCTGGTCACCCCACCCACTAACGAATCCCTACGGACCCTACCGATACGGTAGACCCCTGATATGGATCTACGCCCCCCCGGCCATGTGGTCTTCGGCCCAGCCCTGAGCGATAATTACGAGAAATGCATTATGCATCGTCGTGCACCGCACTGGCGTCTTGGTTTCCCACTATGCTGACCTATAGCTAGTCCTGCATGGGAGGCCTTGTCTTGGCTCCAACCGCCTGAATATGGATGTTGGCGGAGCTGAAGCTGAAGCTGAGAGCTGAGCATAGAGTAGCCCTGTGAGAGACGCCGTCGTGTATCCCCTGAGCCACCTCGCCTAGTATACGTACTTTCGTCTCCCCTGTACTTTGCGTTTGCCTTTTGTACACGGTCTTTCACCAGTGACGCGATTGCGTCTTTCTAATTGATCCTCTGGCATCCGCCTTGGCTGGTACGCCAAACCAACTACGTATCACAATGAAGACCTCGAGTCTGCTGGCTGTTCTCGGCCTGGCGAGCCAGACTTTCGCCGATCCGACATGGCCCTCCAGCATCGACGAGCTGGAGGAGATTATGTTCCAGACCAAATCCTTCCGCTCCAGGAAGTTCGCAGACACCGTCGACCCGTGTAGCAACGAAGCCTCCGGACCGGGACGACAGAATGCGGCAGAATGGCTGCGCACAGCCTTCCACGACATGTCGACCGCCAACAGCTTCTTGAAGAGGGGAGGTCTGGATGGCTCGCTGCAGTATGAGCTGAACACGGGCGAGAACAAGGGGCCCGGTCTCAAGACGACCATGGAGTTCATGGCGCCTTTCATCTCCAGCAAGAGCAGCTTCTCTGACCTCGTGGCCATGGGCGTGTACACGTCCGTCCGTGCCTGCGGAGGGCCTGCCGTGCCTATTCGTGCTGGTAGAAAGGACGCCACTGGTCGTGGATCGATCGGTGTTCCCCAGCCGCAGAACTCGGTGCAGTCATTCCGAGATCAGTTTACGCGCATGGGCTTTACAAACGAGGAGATGATCCAAGTCACCGCCTGTGGCCATACCCTCGGTGGTGTGCACTCGGAGGAATTTCCCGAGATTGTCCCTGCTGGAACTGGCGTTGACGGTCAGATCTCGTTGGACGGTACCGTTGCGGTGTTTGACAACCGCGTCGTGACAGAGTACCTCGACGGAACGACAAAGAATCCTCTAGTCGTCGGGCCGAGTGTTCAGGTGGATCGCCACGCAGACTTCAAGGTGTACAACTCGGACGGCAATGTGACGGTGGAAGCGTTGACGGACAATGACAAGTTCAAGCAAGTGTGCAAGACGGTCTTGCAGAAGATGATCGACGTCGTCCCGGCGGGTGTCACGCTGAGCGACCCTATCAAGCCGTACGAGGTGAAGCCTGTAGCGCTGCAGCTGACGCTCGTGGAGGGTGGCCGTGCCTTGTCGTTCACTGGCTACATCCGTGTCAGGACTACCGAGATTGGAGCTGATGCCATCAAGAACGTGGTCATCACTTACAAGAACCGCAAAGGAGAGTCGGAATGCGGCAGCAACGGATGTACAATCACCACCACGGTGCAGGGTGTCAGCCAGGGCTTCGACGATACCTTTGCCTTCTTCCCCATTGAGGCAGAGATCTCAGCCTCGACAGGTGTCTCCTCCTTTGTCATCACTGTCAACTACGCAGATGGCACCAAGAAGGAGTTTGACAACAACGGCAATACCTACGCTCTGCAGGATGCTGTGCTGCTGCAGATGCCGCAGAGCTGTGTCTTGGGTTCTTCTGGGGCCCTGACCGTCACAGCCGCTGTTCGCAATGACCGCGTCTCAGCAGGCGCCTCCATTGACGTCTCTTACAAGATCCCACAGTCAAACAGCCCCGTGCCCAGGTTGATGAGTGCTTCTGTGGCCCTGAACAAGGGTGACTGCGCGGGCGAGTACACCTTCTTCACTGCTGACTGGACCATCCCCGGAGGCAGGGCTTACGAAGCCCACATTGACGTGAAAAATGGCGACTACGTTGATGCCTTCAAGACCGCCGTCGACGTTGGCGGCACTTGCCGCCAGTTTGCGAATCCTGCCTCGTGCGGCAGCAGCGGCGGTTCAAGCAGCTCGACGGCTGCGACTGTCAGCGAGACGCCCAGCCCTGAGCCAACCGCATCTTCCACCACTACCAGCACAACTACCACATCCAGCGAGGAGGCGACACCAACCGTACACCACCGTGAAGCTGTGGGCGGCTATCGCCTGGTTTCCTGCTGGCACGACTATGAGAATGGCATCCGTGCCCTGAGCGGCCCTCAGAACGTCCAGGACGACATGACCCTCGAATCGTGCATGTCTTTCTGCGATGGCTATGACTACTTCGGCACCGAATACGGCGTGGAGTGTTTCTGCGGCAACTCTCTCCATGACTCGTCCAAGGAGGCGCCCACGGATGACTGCGACATGCCCTGCGGCGGCGACAAGACGGAGTACTGCGGTGCAGGCAATCGTCTCGAGCTGTACTCCACCACCGCGACAAGGACGACGGCAACGCCGACGGCCACGCCAAGCCACGTTGAGACAGTGGGCGACTATGCGCTTGTCGGCTGTTGGACCGAGCTGCAGGGCGGGAGGGCCCTGAGGCAGGACTCAACCTCAAGCTCGGACATGACCAACCAGAAGTGCGCCCAGTACTGCGGTCAATACCGCTACTTTGGCACCGAGTACGGCCTCGAGTGCTACTGCGGCAGCCACGTGGCTACGGACACAGAGTCGGCACCGCTCGAGGACTGCGGGAAACTTTGCGGCGGCGACGACTACGCCTTCTGCGGCGGACCCTCGCGGCTGTCCCTGTACATGAACCCCGACATCCAGGGCGGCGATCCTGAGCAGCCCCTAACCGTAGGAAACTACACCTTTGAGGGGTGCTACACCGACTCGTCCGCCTCACGCGCACTGGACGACAAGCGCACAGCGGGTAGCGAGATGACGAATGAGGTCTGTGCGGCGTTCTGCGAGGGCTTTGCGTACTTTGGCACCGAGTATGGACAGGAGTGCTACTGCGGTAACGAGATCAGCGAGGATGCGCAGGGGAAAGACAGCACCGAGTGTAGCATGATCTGCAAGGGTAGCGTGCTGGAGCTCTGCGGTGATGGGAACCGGCTGTCGGTGTATAAGAGGAAGGAGGAGGAGATTCTGATTAGCAGCGATGCATAGACTGGTTGGGGAGGGTTTGCGATTTCGGCATGGAGTTTTGTCTTATATGACTGTCCCAACAGACTTTTTAATGAAACCGACCGCCTGCTTGTCAAGGCATTTCTTACCATAACGCCCGACTAAGTTATACGCTCCTGGACTCGAGTGAGGATCACTTTGTGATATACATATGTGAAGCCCAACTTGCAAGAAGCTACTGTTTCACCAAGCGTTCAGTCGCAGAAAGCACGCACCCGCCGTCTTTAGAATAGATTTACCGTGAAAACGACCGACATCTTCACAATACTATCGTGAAAACGAGTAGTTGGGTAACAGCCTGGCTCTAGTAACCACGACACTCGACCTCCTATCAATACTCTTGGGGCAAACAAAACAATCGCATACATACAACAGCACGAAGGAAGACTTTTAAAGCCAGGATGAGTATAAAGTGGTAAGATAGAGCAAAATGAAACTCCTAGATGTACCTGGGACTCGAACCCAGAACCTTAGCTTATGGATTGAACCATAGGAGAGCTACGCGCTACCATTGCGCCAGCACACCAGCTATGGGCAGAGATGTGACTAATACTCATTATATACCCCGGTCATTTTGGCACTCGTCTTGACGCGTTCTGTCTCGTCGCGTTTCATCTCACATCAACCTCACTCACTCACTGTTCCTTCGACCTTCACTATCCCGAAATGGCTGACAATTCACACGAAGACGACCTCGAGGTATTCCCTATCATTCATCTATCATCGGACGATGCACTGACACTTCCAGCGTCTCAAGTCGGCGCTCTGGTATGCCGTGGGCCAAATCGTGGATGAGTTCTGTATGAGCCGCAACCGCAACGCGACGCCGCAATTCATCGGTGCCCTGACGGAGCTCGTGTGGACTCAAATCGGTATGTCCACGTGTCTGTCGGTGCCTGCGTTCTTGCGTCTCATCACAGACTCATACGCTGCAACAGTTTGTCTTCACTCACTAACACAAGGCCAGAAAACGTCGCCATCGACCTCGAATCATTCAGCAACCACGCTGGTCGTACAACCGTCACCACAGACGACGTGCTTCTCCTCGCGAGGAAGAACCCCGATCTGCAGACCATCATGGGCGAATTCGTCGAGGCAAGGAAGGCAATGAGCGCTAGCACAAAGGGAACGCAACGGGCAAAGAAATGATATAACCTGGACCTCCTCAGAGGACCTAACGACTGAATGAGAAATGGCATCACTGCTTCAACATCAGTCTTCAATTGTTTCCTCGCTAAGCTAGTTTGACGCTCGCTTCCTTCCCGTACGCCTCCGCATAGCCCGCCAACAACTCCAGCGTCACGCCAGCGCCACCGCAGACCTCGAGCACAATGTTCCTCGTCTTCCACTCATCGTCACTGCAACCCTGGCCAAAGTGCTCCCGCAAATCGCCCTTGTACGCCACCGCCAACGTCGCGCCGCACGAGACCTCCACGAGGAGACGCGCATCGTCCGCGAAGCGAACAGCAGACATGGCCGCGTCCGCGTCGGAGACCACAATGCTCTTCATGCTGACCTCGCCCGCGAGGCCACGCTCTGCCCAGCGCCATGTCTGAGCGGACACACGTGCCGCGCCCAGCGATTTCGCGATGCTCGTGATCCCGGGGATGCTGACGTGCTCGCCCGCGCGGACGCTGGCGTTCAACGCATCTGCGCCAATGGTTTCCACCGCCAGCACATGGGGTTTCGGCCCTGACCACGATTGACTCTCGATACCCTGCATAATGCCGTTCACAAGACCGCCTCCGCCGACGGAGCAGACGATGCCGTGGATAGGGCCGTCAATCTGCTCCCTGAGCTCCGTGACAATGGACGATGCACCGTCCCAGATCTGCTGGTGGTCGAATGGCGGGACGTACACGCCGTTCTTGTCCTTTGGCATGAGCTCCTCCCTCAGGTACCGATCGGCCTCGGACCACATGCTGCCGTGGATCTGCACCTCGACGCCCAGAGCGAGCAGCTTGTTCTTCATGAGAGCGGGGCTTGAGGTCGGCAGCACAATGGTGGCGGGACAGCTGAGCGATAGGGCAGCGGTGGCGCACGCGAGACCAGCGTTGCCGCCCGAGGAGCAGTAGAAGTGTGGTGTGGAGGAGGACGCGGCGGCGGCGCGGGTCATGAGGTTGCCAATGCCGCGTGATTTGAAGGAGCCGGATGGCTGGAGATTATCAAGCTTGAGATAGACATTGCTGTCGGTGGTCAGTGGCCATGGTCCGTGGGTGACTTGACGGGTTCAGTGTGTTGAGACGTACCAGCCTGCGATGCGGGAGATTTCTGGTGAGAGGACACACGGCGTGCGCACCCAGGGGAGCTTTGCATCGGCGGGAAGGGAGCCCATTTCTGCGTACTTGTTCGAGCTGGATCACACGGTTGACAAGTACACAAAGGGAGCGGGCGTGATGAGATGATGGGGGGGATATGGCAGACGTTATGCGCTTAGGAGCGGGTTCCGAGATCGCAGATGGGCACGACTAGGAGAGTGCCTTGTGTAGTCGGTTCCGGGTGTGAGAATATGAGCAGATGCGATGGTGTCCAGGCGAGGCAAGCATGCATCAACTTAAAGATCCCAGATCCCTCAAAACTTGTGAGGGTTTTAAAATGCGCCTTTGCGATGACCGTAGTTCAACATGCCCCACAATCAGCACCATTGGCAATTCCGACAGGTGTCGTGAGAAGCTTGTCGACTCTCGAGAGGGCCGCGTTTTCTTCGAGGATACCGGCTACGTCTCTTAACCCCTTGATGCCATTATCATGAGACTGAGTATCTAAGCAACGTCCGCCATCGTTCGCGCTATAGATCGTACAACTGGTCCTTGGGCCAGGGGTACTGTGTGAATTGACCAGATAGACATGGCTTGGTCGCACTGTGCACATTAACTTCACTCATGATTTCTCAACCTTCAGGTCAAAGGTTTCCCAACATCATCCCTCTGCTTCGACCATCGTACCATGATCAAATCGCATATCTTTCCGCTGTGAATCTTCAAAGATTGCACGAGATGGTCTTGTCATTATGGGAGATATTGTCAAGCACACCATATCTGTTATTGAGCATACCCAGCGTGGCTAAGTGTAGCGCGAGATGGGACGAAAGCATATCCGATCAGCCAGGATGACCAGGAGAGAAGTTGAGCTTGCTTGGTTTCACAAAGCCACATATGGGAGATATTGTCAGGCATACTATATCTATTATTGAGCATACCTAGTAGGGGAGTCGTGAGGAAGACACTATCTATACACGCTCTTGTCTCTCGTACTCAGGGCACAGGCAGCTCCGATGGCTCCTTCCTCGGCATCTGAAGTTAGCCAATCTTTCTAGGAAGGCACGCAGGTTGCTCCTTCTCTGTTTCTCGCCAGGTCTGCCTATAAATTAATCCCTTCTCTCCCCAAACCAACTTCTTCCTCCTTCATCCCTTTCTTCTTCTTCCACCACCTCTTCTTCCACCACCAACCCCCGCCATGGTCACCAACACGGGGGACCAAGACAACGCTGCAGCCAGCGTCTGCGAGGCGCCCGAGATCTCACCTGAAGCTCCTTGCAACGACAGAGCCGACAAGAGTGATGCAGCTCGCAGCGTTAGCCCCAATTCGGTGGAAGAAGAATCCCATCCGCCATGCATTGAAGCGCACAAGGGTATTCCGTCAACATCATGCCAGTATGAATGCGAAGAAGCGAATACGTCTGGTGAACTCGAAGGGATCGACACAGAAGATATGGTTTGGTCAACCGGTCCGAATGAGAAGAGCCCGACGCTTGGAGACGTCGACATGGATTGCAATCGCCCACAGGAACCTCTGACGCCCCCGCCCAGTGCCCCATTGAGAGAGCTTGAGGTTGCGAATAGCGAGATCCATCCCACTGAAATAGATACAGGACTCATGGATGAGGGTCAGCCCATCGTGGAGGATATGGTAATGTCATTCGACTTCACCCCTCGAAGCGAACGCATGAGTACAATGCAGTGTAAGTCATGGCCCCTGATCGAAACACTCCCAGATCCACGACTAACTGACAAAGCCACTTACGAACAACTGATGACCCTTCCTGGAACATCAGATACAAACACCCCTGCACAAATTGAACTGGACTCATCATCGGAAGACGAGGATCCCCATGACAATACAACGGCCACCATGGCGGCATTAGGACAACAGCGACTTGAACAAACGGCTGCGAAAGCCGCTCTCGCAGCTACACAAGATGCGAATGGAGATACAATGCCGGAGGTTGATGGACAAGCCACCATTAACGCTATGGAATCACCAGAGGACGAAGAGCAGGAAGCAATCACGACGACCAAAACTAAACGTGACCGTCGAAAGAAACGCGAAAAGGGTCGCCAGAAGCGGCAAACCAGAGTCCCGAGGTCTGGCCCGATTATCTTGGAAGAGGCACCCACGATCGACATCGCGACAAAACCTCTAAAGGAGCTTCCTGGCCGCGACGAATTTGAAGCCGGCCGAACTCAACTAGACTCAAAGCATTACGTTTGGGCTGAGCAGCATTATACAGACAGCCGAAGTAGCCCAGTGGAGAATAGAGGAGTCCAATTCTATGATCCCCTCGACAATCGAAAGGATAGCGAAGTCTCTCTCGGTCCTTACGACATGCTGAGCCGCAGGCGCCGGCCTGTGGAAGAAGAATTACCGAAGACTCAACGACCCAAAAAGGCCAAGAAATCAAAGTCGAAGAGGAAGCGAGATGATCCGGAAGATGATGAAGAATTTGGCCCTGAGGCGAAGAAGCGAAACGAGACCATCGACGAAAAGCTCGCAAAGAAGCGAGAAGGTATCACAAAGTCAGCGCGAGAAATCAGAGAGCTAGAGAAACAAAAGCGCCAGAACGAGCAAAATGAGCGGAGTCGACTAAAGTCTCTCGCCGCCCAGAAGATGTGGCCTCGGAGTATTCAAAGACTGCCGACCGAAATCAGGCGCCGTATCCTACGCGAGCTGCTAGTTGCGGAACAGGCGATAGAAGTCCACAGCAACTGGGTACGACTATACAGCTCTCGGGCAACGCGGTCACGTTCTGGGCCTCTGACAATCTTACATACCGGCATCTTGCGGACTTGCAAGGCAATGTACTGGGAAGGCATCTCCGTCCTTTACGGAGACAACGAATTCCTTTATAAAATCCGAGATGCACAAGTCACTGCGCCAGCTGATATTGACATTACATGTGTCGCTCAGGATAACTCAGCCCCAAACGGCGACGAAGAGTCTGATATCTCGCTGGATGAAGATGACTCTGATGCTGAGTACCAGGATGAGGAAGTGCAGCGCGCAGCAGTCTCGAGGCCGCAGCGACGCCGCAGGAGAGACGAACCGAAGACGATCTTCTTCGACAAGATGTTCCCCTTGTTCAGGAGAATCCTCATTGAAGCCGAGAAGAATCGACATGGAGTCGATACAAAGGTCAGGATGACCGAGGCAATCAAGGCCTTCACGAACCCGCCCCAGCCTATCAGGCGTGGCAAAGGCGATGTTCCGATCAGCCCTCTGGAGGAGGACAGAAAGCGAGTCGCAAACATTCACACGTTGCGAATTCGAGTCTTTCCCTCCCTACAAAGAGAACCATCCACGGTCACAGGCCAGCCCGGGAGTATAGTAGGCTACACCTTCTCTTCCTTTTTCAACGAAGATTGCTCCGTCTTCAAAGCAGCCAAGAGGCTTCTGCCACAGCGGCTGATTCTCGACGTCATGTCAAAGTACCTGAATGAAGCGAAAAAGAACAAGCGAATGACGATCGACATGCGCGCGCAGCGGATCACACGCATGGTAAAAGACTCAGGGGTGGATATCTGGGCCAAGGATATGACAATGCAGCGCTCGCGTAGGCAAGCCTCTAACAAGACTAGATCTCACCTGCAGCAGGTAGAGTCTGGTTTCGTGGCTCACTGCGCAAGCTTTGGAGCGTCTGTGGAGGATGAAGATGAGGATGAATATTCTTCCGACTTTGAAGAAGAATGACTTTGATGACCAGGTCAAAGCCCTCTGACGAAAAGGGGTTGCGATAACAAAACAGATTTTACCAATAGCTTAGATTAGGAGAGAAGAGGTGCGACAGACTGAAGATCTCGGGGGGTTCTTGCTTCAATACCCTGAGATCGTCAACAAAGGGGGCGTTTCATTGATTTTCTACGAACGAGATCACCCGAGGCTCTCTCTTGGATGGCAACATTGATCGAGCAAGATCTCGAAGGGATTGGACATGAGAGAAGCATCAAGCTTCCTATATTAGTGAGGACTCAGGGGTAGCTCCTTAAGAGTTCCAGATTTGATGCCATAGTCTCGGGTATATACATTTCGCTTTGATTGAATCTTCACCGTGCCACTATTTGAACCGTACTCACGTCCAATGTCTCGGTGTCTACAATGACAATCTCCTTGGACTGCGCAAACGAGGGGACTGTGATGAGCCGCACAGACTGGTCGTCAGGTCCATGAATGACGCGGGTGCCGAATTCAGGCTGGTTGCCCACAAAGTACAGATGCGGACAGGTCTTGATCACAAAGGGATCGTCGTCCTGAAAAGGGTAGCTCCCTAGAGAGAAGAGTCAGTCATCTGTCTGGACGCACGTGTCCGATGGAAGCACTTACACAATGTGTCCGGTGCTGTGGGGGCAACGCAGCGCCAACGACACATGGCCTCCATCATGCTCAGCCGGTCATCGCTCTCGACATACTTGAACACGTCGTCTACATTCTGCCCACCCGTGCCCAGCATCCGCCAGCCGTCGACTTCAGCCTCCCATGGGTTGGTCGTCGTGTCGAACCAGCCAGGCTCCTTTGACCCAGGGACTTGGGCGTACGCTCTCGCCGTGGGGAACATGGCTGCGTGGATGGGCTGTTGTGGATAACTGGCGTTGGCAGGATCCTGGGCGCCCGGCATGAGGGTGACGGGGATCGTAGGCAACAGCTCGCTGAGGAACTCGTCGAAGAGTTGTGATGGTAGGGCGTTGTACGCGCTTGCGTCGTAACCGTACTTCTTGGCTCCTTTCTTCTCCGGCTGCTCGTCGGCTTGCGCGGCGTCTATGGAGTCGCCCGCTATGATAAGTCTGCTGATCTGGGAGACATCGGACTGCCCTTGTGGACCGAGGGCCTCGCCGAGCAGATACTCGAGCAAAAGGTTGAGCTCAAGGCCGTGCGAGGCGTCAGAAGCGGAGAATGACAGCCCCGAGACAATGGCGATTTTGCTGCCAGCGCCTTGTGACGAGTCGGCCATCTCCTCGTCCTCATCTTTCTTTACCGGCTTTGTGAGCTTCCAGCGCTCGGGCTGAGGCGGAAGGTTTGGAAGTTGGATATCGACAATCTCGAGGTCGCCGTTTGTGTTCTCCGTGCCCATAACCGCAATGATACACCCCGTCACGAGATCGACCGTCTTCAGAAGGTCGCCAGCCAATCGAATCCGACCCGAGTCGTCCTCCAGCATGATCTCGTTCTCTTCTGGGTTGGAAAAGTATTTCTCTGGGACCACGGGCGCCGAGATCCATCGCTAGGTTCGGTCAGTACGTATTCAAGCGGCTGTCTGCATGTGCACGCAGGGCATGACCTACGTCTTTCGACACATCTTCCAGGATATCGGGCTTGAGTGGCATGGCCATGAAAATTGTCCCGACGACCCAGCACAGCTCGCCCTGCTTCACGTCCAGTACACGATCGACTCGCTTCGCCTCCTCGCCTGCGACCACCGTCCCACTCCATTCGGCTTCTGCTACTTCTTCGACGGCGGGTCGGATTTTGGTGAGGCGCAGAAAGTACATGTCGCCATACTGCTGTTGGTATGACCGACCTTTGTCGAGTTTGTACGTTGAGAGTGGCTTGTAAGTTGATGCTGGTCGGGTCTGGACTGTGTGTGCCGAGTTACTGGAAGCTGTTAGCGAGGGTGATTTGACATGGACGCGAAAGGGCAAACTTGCGATGGCTGTGACAGCAGAGTGTCTGCCACGTCCTCGAGCTTGACCATCTTGGCTCAAATTTGCCCTGGGTATTGTACGAGTGGCTCCTTGGATAGATGAGGCTGATGGCAAGGAAGCCAGAGCTTCAGACGCGTTGACGCGTGCTGCCACATTTTGGCGTAAAGTGGCTGGGACCCACTCATGTTGGCGGGGCGCACCTTCCCTAGCTGTGAGAGCTCGACCCCACTAACCCGTTAGCGGGATAGATGGAGGGGCACCGCTTCATCCGTCAGCGTCCTGCATAATGACTCGATGATTTCCAGGTTCATTCGTTGTACATATGTATTAACTGGCTCCGTACGCTTCCTACGCAGTCTTACAATCTTCACCTCACTCAATTACCCCCTGAAAAACGCCATTGAGACACTCACCATGCCCAAGCCCGTCCAGCCCCCTCGTGTCGAGGTGAACAACCTCTCCTACACCTTTCCCGACTACTCGACGGGTATCAGCAACATCTCCATTGACGTCCCGCCACGATCGCGAACCCTACTTATCGGTGCCAATGGTGCTGGAAAGACGACTCTTCTTCGCCTGCTCGCAGGCAAACGTCTCGCGCCTGCCAAGACCATCTCCATCTGCGGCGTCGACCCCTTCCAAGACAGTCTCGAGGGCGTCACCTACCTGGGCCTGGAATGGGTTCTCAACCCCATCGTGAGGACAGACATTGGCGTCAACGAGCTGCTCAGTTCCGTGGGCGGCGATGCCTACCCCGAGAGGCGGGAGGAGCTGGTGGCTCTGCTGGACATTGACACAAACTGGCGCATGCACGCCGTCTCGGACGGCGAGCGTCGTCGCGTGCAGCTCGCCATGGGTCTCGTCCGTCCCTGGACGATCCTCCTCCTCGACGAGATCACGGTCGACCTCGACGTCCTGTCGCGCGCCGAGTTCCTCAACTGGCTGAAGCGCGAGACGGAGCTGCGCGAATGCACGATTGTGTACGCCACGCACATTCTGGACAACCTCGCCGGCTGGCCCACGCACCTCGTGCACATGCACATGGGCACCATCAAGGAGTGGGACGAGGCGGACAAGATGCTCGCCACGGTCGATGCCACGGTCGGCACCACCGGCAACAGCCGTCTCGGCGAGCTGGTCATGGGCTGGCTGAGGGAGGACCTCAAGGAGCGCGGCCCGCGCAGTCAGGGTCGGCATGGCACCGAGGGCAAGACCTACGGCTTTGGTGGCATGCAGCTCGGCGGCTACGGTGATGAGTCGAAGCAGTTCAAGAAGTGAACAGATTCAATAAGGCACGGGGAAAGGAGGGCACTCAACTGCATTTGCAAGGCGTATTACGGGACGGAAGAAGGAGACCTACAACTTCAACGATGCAAGGCGTTCTGGCGGGACTCAACACTGCATACTGGGCGAGCGTTTTTCAACATATAGGGATGAGGTACTGTGATCTTGGCTTCATCTGGCCAAAGGGCCTTCGCACTGTCAATTTCGACAGGCTGAACAATATCTAGGTAGCATCGAGAAAAGCACAACAAGATCTGACATCTATTGCGACGACCTCTGAAGACTAGTGCTCCTCTCGCCTGTCTTACCGTCCATGAGGTTCTTGAGCACGGTCATGGTGCACTTGAGCAAGTCCGCTATCCCCGGCAGCCCCTTGTCGGACAGCGAGTTGAGCACACTGACACGATAATCCTGCCACCCCATGCTCAAGCCGCCCGACGTGGCCAGCTTTGCCAAGCTAGCCTGCGTGACGGGCCCAGCATGCCGTGTTGCCAGCAGTCGACCTCTGTCTAGCTCAGCGTCTTCCAATTCTCGGAATCTCTGTATGCTCTGAAGGCAAAGGGTAGGGGCGAGGGACAGGCCACAAATGGACTCCAGGCCAAAGTTCCGGTTAACTCGCATCAGATACGCTGACAGGGCGTCGACTGTAGGCGAAGGGAGCAGGCAACCGTGCGCGTTGGCTTCCGTCGAGCTGAAGGCACGCGTGCGCCACAGACAATTGCATATGTCCATAAGATAGCCATTGTATGTGTTGAGGTATGCGCGATCGTACGGACCAGATTGCGTAGGGTCGTCGGAGCGAGCGCGCTCCATAATGGCCGTCTCGAAGCCCTGCTTGAAGCAGGAAAGCACATGGCAGAGCCGCGACGTATCGGCCAAAGAGCCGCTGAAGAACAGCGAGTAGATGACAGGCGACGGTGGCATTTCGATCCGAAGGTGGCTGCGGAGCGAGCTGTGCGTGACCATGTGGGCGAATTCTTCGTAGAAATCGAGGACTTGGGAGCTGGTCGTGACAGTGGGCGAGGCTTGGAGCATGATGGAGCTGATGGTGTTCATGTGACTGACGAGAGCTTGGATGGTCTTCTTGGCATGCTTTGGTATGGCTTCGCTGGAGAGAAGCAGTGACTTCCAGTGCCGTAGTATCTGAGTGTACAGGTCGACTAAGGAGTGTTGTAGCTCGGGGTGATGAGTACCCAATGCCGTCTCGAGGGGTCCGAACAAGTGTTTATAGAGTTCTACCACAGTCAGTGGTCACCGCTCGCCGTCGTTGATGCATGTTGACCTACCCTTGAATTCTTGAAGAGGCGTGAAGGCGAGAATGTCGAGAAGGACGTCGACTCGGCCTGTGCCTCCCCACACGGGGAAGAATTGTGCGAAAAAGTTCAGCAGGATCGGCGGGATAGCCTAGTCAGATGTCAAAAAGTGCATTCCCAGAGCAAGAATCGAGTGCGCATACCTTGGTCTGCGTCACGAAATCTCGCACGACCTCCAGGAGCTCCCACAGTGAAGCCTCGTCAGCCGCGCCATGCATTACCTCTTGCAAAGCCGCCTGTAGCCAGTAGACGATGCGCTGGTGCGCCTCATCGTGAGGCCTCAGGAGCAACAGCTTCTGAAGCAACGGATCAGCGAGGACTGCAACGAGCTGATTGGGGAGCTCCAGCTTTTCGAGGCTGTCCGCTAGTCCTTTGGCAGTTTCAACTTCCTCGAGCGTCACTGAATTCTGTTACTGTTAGCGATGGGCTGAGATCTCCTTGTGGGGGACAACTGACCTCGCCTGCCAGAGATGTATGCACGGCTGGAATGGCCTTGTCGGACCGCACACGACCAAGCGGCTTGTTGACGCGGAAGCCGTCGCGCGTGACGGTCGCAGTGTCTACTAATCGATGTAGATGCGCATCCTGAACCTCGTTTAAGTGCCCCCGCCACGAAGTATCAGGGTGCTTTCACAGGCTGTCAGCACAAGCTCCCCTCCCAGTCTTCGGACGATGTAGTTGGTACCTTGAACGCGGAGGCCCTGCCCCGGACCGCTTCTCCCACGATGACCTCGGGATAGTAGTCTTTGTATACTCGGAGCAACCCGATGAGGCTGGGGTCGTTGCCTGCCTTGCGCGCCAAGTCAAGGCTAGAATTCTTAGTTTAGTGGTAACCACGTAGAGATAGTCGCTGTGACCTACAGGGCCTGTATCCGGAAAGGCTTCACATGTTTGCGTCGCGTGATGAGTGCGAGAAGGTGGGCGAGCTGGGGTCTTGTTGCCGCGGTATCAAGCAACGAGAACAAGACATGGTAGCTCTGTGAAAGAACCTGAGGGGTCTCCAGGGTACGGTACACCAGTATGAGCCACCGCACGAGTGCAGCCTGTATGTTGAGAGAGGCCTTGAACCGCCCTTGCCCTAGACAAGCGACCACCCTGATCACGACGTGGCGTGAGACTTTGGTGGCAGGGTAGAGGTTGCGTATGAGGGCATTCAGGCTCCCCTGGTCGAGATGATTCGGCCGCGTGATGAGATCGATGAGCTTGTCTAGGGCATCAGGCAGGACGCCCCGTTCGTAGGCTGCTGAATTGAGACGCGCAACAGTGGGCTTGATGTCTGTGAGGCGCGCCTTGGGTGTCAATTTGGCGGCGTCGACGACATCTTGGATTAACCGATTGAGCTCTTCGTCGACGGCGTTATCCTCCATCTTGAAGGGTTCGACCAAGATATATTATTTAGAGTGGTGTCGTTGTGAGTAGTGAATGGTACCAAGTATCACAGACGCGTTGATGATCATCCCAGTTGAGGTGAGTTAAAGTGGGTCCATCAACATCAACGTCGAAAAGTAAGAAACTCTGTGGTCATTTTGTGGCAAGAACAGGCGCATTTGCAGTATGTTATCTTCTGTCATTCAGGGGTCTGCCCCGTAATTGTGTACGGCTAGCCTGGTCACATTGCTACTCTAGATGCGCGGTGCGGTGGTATGTTCGAGTGACGATGGATCATGTGGTGGTCGAACAAGAAACAAAAGACTTTTGGCTTTTCCATGACATGCCGTGCTCGTAAAACTCCCTGGTACGCCATTTGCTCTTCGTGTCCGGGATATCATAAAGCAAGGAGAAGAAACACAAAATCAAGATCGTCGTACACATCGCCACGTCGTAACTTCCGTCATGTCCATTTTGAAAAGTCGACCGCATCAGCGTTCAAGTCAGAGCCTGACTGTTGCTGCGCCGCGCCGCTTGGACCGTTGCCCACCTCGGTGTCGGCTGAGGTCGCCGAACCAGAGAGCATGGACGACCGGTGGGACGTCTGCTCACTGGTACTCGTGAAGAAGGTGGCCACGCTTGTTCGGCGAAGACTGGTGAAGCTGTCGCGCACGCTGCTGCTGGGTCGTGAATTGTCCGCGACCTGCTGCGCCTGTTGCGCCTGTAGTTGCGGATACTGCTGTGCTGCACCACTGCCGCCGCCAGAGGCATTGGGAGGCGGCGAGGGCGATAGATGATGTGCGCTGTGCGAGTGCATCGCGGCTTTCGGGGCGTACTTTTCGCGCAGTCGTTTGATTTCGCGAAGACGAGCGCGCCATGAACTGACATATTCACCCCCGCGGGCTTGCCAAACCAGTGAGAAGACAGAGGCGTTCAAGGCTACAAGACGGATGAACTCGGGCAGCGCCTTGAGAGACACCATCTTGACCTCTGAGGCTGGCGAAATCTCGGGGAAGCCAGGCTTGCTCATGACTTGGACCCGATAAAAAGGCTGCTCCTTACGCTCCGCCCGTCGAGCTTCGCGCGCAGCGATGAAAGAAGCCCTGGATGCTGGCGTAATCACAATGTTGACGTAGTTGAACTGACTCGGAAAGGTGTCAAACTTGAAGGGTAGCCCAGAATCGTTGTAGATGATGTTGACAAAGTCGTTTCCAATGTGGCGCTTCTTCATGGACAGCTGGGGGTCATTCTGCAGGTTTGTGGGCATCTGTGTCGTGACGTGGAAGACAATCTCAGTGAGGCGGTCGCGCCACGCATAGGCGTATTCGCCGTCCATGTCCATCTCGCGATCCAACCCTTGCGTGTTGAACGTCGCGCCCTTGAGCTTGACCAGCGTGCCCAGTTGGTTGAGGAACTCGTGGTAGTCGCTGCTACCCGAAACATTCGACAGAATCTCCACCTCGTCCGTCTGGCCCTCGCCGATGTAGATGACGCCTACCTTGTGCCCATCTACAGTAGGGTTGCGGTCCATGACTCGGAGCATTCGATCGGTAGCCTCGTCGTCGGGCAAGATAATGGGGCGCGCCACGTCGCAGGACTGGGGGATGGAAGACATGAGCTGAATCATGAGGTGGCTGGGGAGCACCACGTTGGTCGGCACCTGCCCATCTCTACCAAACTCGGGCTGATTACCGGTCTGGTGCAATGGTGCAGGCCGCAATGCCTCGCGTACCATGTACGTCGAGGTTCCTGACGGCTGCCGCTTGGTCACCTCGGCCCATCCGGTTCGTGTGGACTGCTTGATGGCAACAATGCTGTTGCCAACCAGCCATCGCTTGGTGACCAGTTCTCCCATACGCTGCGAGGTGAACTTGGGGTCTTCCCCTGACTCGTTAATGTCTGCGTACGTCACCCGTTGCATAAAGTCAATGGCAATCAGCGCCTGCTCCTCTCCCATGGTCCCGGAGCCATCGACGTCATTGAATAGTTTTCGTGCAATGGCCCCGACATGCGTGGCCCGGTCAGGGAGCTTCAACGCGAGGAACCAAAAGAGGATGACGTGGTACCCAAGTGCATACACATATTGGGGCAGGTCATCAGCGGCGTTGGGGTGAGCGAGATCAACTCCTGGGCCCGAGCCACCAGCTGGTGTCGTAGGCTCACTCGACGCCGGTGCCTTTGGCGCGCGTCGCTTGTCTCTGGCAGACTCGAGATATCGAAAGCATATACCGAAAACTGTTCGATACTCGTCTTCCCGAAAGTTGACATAGACGTCGTGGAGTTTGCTCAGACACGCCAGGAATTCGAGGATGT